CCTCAGCTGCAGCTCTGGCGAGCTTAATCTGAGGAGCTCTTTTTATTTCTTTCCCCCTAAGCTTTCTTTATTTTCTGCTGTTTGGCTTTTAAGGTTTGTTCCCTGAGCACTTGATTGAAGTCCTGAGCAGAGAGCTGGCCCTGGAGTGTGACTACCAGAGAGAAGCTGCCTGCGCAAAGAAATTCCAGTACGTTCACATCAGTGCCTTCAACCTTTCTGTGCGTGTGCATGTGAAATGCAGAGAGGTGCCTTAGCTTCAGGGACAGATGGGAGGTGAACTGCATGCCCTGGGGGCAGAAGGGAATAGTCTGTGCTCGTGACCCCTTTTATGTTACCATCTCTTCTCAGCTAGGTATGTTTTCATTTAGCTGAAACTGTTTAGCTGAACTGTTGCTGAATGTTGGAGCTAAGGGATGCAGCAGGCAGCTGGTGTCCTTTCTTTCAGCTTGAAGGTACTGTAGTAACTCTTGAGGCCAGGCTGCAGTGCTGTTCTAGCTGTGGTAAGCTGCTCTTTCATCTAGGAGCATTTTCAGTTCAGCCCTCTCACAGCAATTATTGCCACCAGCCCTGGTTGCTTCCTTTTCTCACTACATTGCTGGCGTACAGATTGTTTTACGCTAAGCCTGAACCTGGGAGTGCTGCTGCAGGCAGGCTTTGCCCCCTGCAGAACTGTTCCTGTGGCATGGCTTGCTCTCTTTCTCTCTTACAGTTTCTTCTGTGAATGTAGTCTTGCTCTGAAATGGGGTAGATTGAGCAAAGGAGCCCAGTGCCCTCAGTGTCCTAATGCTGCTGCTTCAGCAGATGATGTGACCTCAGGAGTCATCAACAGCTGTAACTGGGTGGCATGGCTCCTGGTGACTTGATCCTTATTGTAACTGTGGAGCAAAAAGTCCCCTGGCAGCTGCAGCCAGGGTGTGAGGAGTGTGCAGCAGTGCTGCCTTAGGTTGCATGAAGGGGGGCTGTGTATTGTGCAAAGTGTTGCAGAGGGACTTGTGTGCTCGTGGCACTCCTAACCTTTCCCTCTCTTTTCTCCATGTCCTAGGGAGCTGCTGAAAGACCACCCCTTCTTTTACGTTCCAAGAGTAGTGGATGAGCTGTGCAGCAAACATGTCCTGACCACAGAGCTGGTGTCTGGCTTCCCCTTGGATCAAGCTGTAGGGCTGAGCCAGGAGATCCGAAATGAGGTACTGTTGGGCGGTCTCTTTTCACCTAGCTCAGAGAAGCATGGCTGGGGCTTCCCTGCTGAGTGGGAGTCTGAGTTGTGGGAGGGCAAACTCTGAGAAGTGTAATGCAGGGCTGGAGTCAGCGATTGCCTGGAGTCTCTCTAAAGCTTTCTGTGTAGTGAATTTGGGAGCAGTGCTGAGTTTTCCCTAGGCTGGTTTAGTCCTTACAGGCACTAGCAGCTGTGCACAGGGAGCAGTTTGAAGAGGGTGAGTGGCAAGGGTAAGTGAAGGAAAGGTAGCCTGAGTAACTTCTAGCTGTTCTGTTTCTCTCAGATGACCCTAAGCCTGGGAGGAATTGTCAGCCGGGGGAAGAAAGGTTTTGTTTTTCAGTTGTTTTCTTGGGTGAGAGTGCAGAAGTATCTCCACCTCCCCCCACACCCAAATAGCTGGCTATCACCTCTGGGGCTGAGGTCTGCTGGAATACTACCTCGCAGTAAAAAGGAGCAGGGATGTGGTCATGGCCAGGCATTGGTGCTGAATATAGCAAGGGACTGGAGAGCTGTTGTAGGAGAAGCAGCTGTTCTAGTAGCAGAAATAACTATCCTGGTATTTGGATATGGGTTTGTTGGTTTTTTTTGCTTTGGTGTGAGTTACCAGCTGTTAGCAGGTCACTGGGGAAAAGTGCAGATCTCGGCACCATACTGGGCTTGATGTTATGCCAGAGCTGGTTGCCTGTGATCCCTGAGCTGCTTGTCCTCTTGAATGGGCTGCTAGATCATCAGGGCTACGTTTAACAGTTTAGCAGGCTATGACCCGGGGTGGTACAGCTTTTTTCCTTTAAGTGATGAACTGAAGTAATTGGTGTAGCCTTCTGACCCAAATGGCAGCATCTTGTAACAGGGCCTGGCTTGCATTTACTGCTCTTCTCTATTTTGAAGGTGGTGCTTTGCAGGAAGACAGGCACAATAAGGCTGGCAGTTCTTAGGCTGTAGCTTAAAAATCCTCACAGAGAAGCTTTGCTGTATGTAATACAGTTGTGGACTTTCTGGAGACTACTGTTCTTGCTGCCCCCCTATGCCTGCCAGGCCCAAGCTGTCTGCTTGCTGCTTCTCCCTTAACGGTTTGGACCTAGCTCTGTACATTGTTGAGCAGCTGTAAAGGAAGAGGTTCTCCTCTTTTAGGTCCTTTTGTGCCTTTAACTCAAAATGCTGTGGAACAGGGCATCTTGAGTCCTGTGAGCCATGCTGGCTTCACTTTGGCCATCTCTGCAGGGCTTTCTATCACAGGGTAGGCTGTAATACCCTGCTGCTGTTCCTCATCTCTGCTGCTGCACCCATTCTTGCACAGTGAAGACACTCCTAAGAGGCAGTCTCTCAGCAAATTCAGGAGTTTTGCACTGTGAAGCAGATACGTTCCTTGTGTGCTGATAATGTGTGCTGTAAATTAAATGTGTGAATAGGCCTTCCACCCTGCTGACTTTTTCTTACTCTGTCTGATTTTCAAGATTTGTCACAACATCCTGGTCCTGTGTCTGCGGGAGCTGTTTGAGTTCAGGTACATGCAGACTGACCCAAACTGGTCCAACTTCTTCTACGACCCACAGCTGCACAAGGTAAGTTCAGGCAGCACCTCTTCTGCCTCTACAGGAGCTGCTTTTCACCAGTTCTTGATTGTTCCCCACTCCCAAAGTTTTATGAGTTCCTGAACATGTTGGGTGTCTTCTGATGACAGGCTTTCCTTAAGTGGTTTGTCCATTTCCAGGTGGCTCTGCTGGACTTTGGAGCAACACGAGGGTTTGATGAGAAGTTCACCGATGTTTACATCGAGGTGAGAACTTGCAGAGTATCTTAGAATGTTGCAGTGTCTCTTAGAATGCTGCACTGGGGTTCTTAGGAGTATTTCCAAAGTTCATTTCTCTTAGCTGTATCACTGTGTTTGTATTTGAATCTGATTTCAGTTGTAGAGGGAAGCAGGGATGGAGATGAAATCTGTTCTGGTTTTATACCTTACTTTTGTCCCATGCCTTACGCATGTCTGCTGCAAACCTCTGGCTTCCTGTATTCTGATGTTTAAACTAAATGACAAATGTGGAGGACTGTAATGCTGCTTACCAGGGGAGTTAAGCAGCAGAGTGCCTGGAAGGGCATGCCCTCTTCTCCCTCACTCACTTGGAATTCATTGATTTTTTTAAATTTTTTTTTTTTCATGAGGGTGTGCAGGAATTGCTTGTTCTGTTCACTGTCTTTTCCTGTCACAGACTTGCAAATTCCTGCAGTCACGTGTGCATGGCTTCTTGATCACCTTTTTCTGCATTTGCTAAATTGAGCTGCAGGGGCCAGCAGACCTCACCTAAAGCTTCTCACAGTTGTATTTTTGCAGTGGTTAATTGGTCATGCAGCTTTTTTTGATGTCTTTTATGTTCTCTGTCCTGTGTACGGTTACAGGAGAAAGCTTTCAGAGCCACTAGCTGCATCTTTTTTTCAGTAGCTCTTAGACTAGTCAACGCACAGACCCCTAAAAAAGGGGAATAGAGGCAAGAAAGTGAGACTGTAGTCTGAAAACGTGTCAGTTATCATGCAGATCTCCTGAAAGTGATGTTCCTATTCAGGTAATCAAGGCAGCTGCTGACATGGACAGAGAGAGAGTACTGAAGAAGTCCATTGAAATGAAATTCCTCACTGGCTATGAAGTCAAGGTATGGAGGTGAAGCATCTGCTTTTAGTGATGGGCAGTGAAAGGTTTGAAGAATGTAGGTCTTCAACTTCTACAGTTTCTTGACGGTGGTGTGAAAGCTCTGTTGCTGGGCTGAGGGAGGGGGGCAAAAAAGTGCTTCAGCTTTTGTTCTCCCCTTTCTTATGGCAGAAAGAGCCACAATGATATCCCCAGTTACCTCTTCTCTTTATCCCCTGGCAAGACCTTGCAGATGGTGATGCTGCTGCAGTCTTGTGGCTGAAGTAGACAGTTGCTTGAAGCTGCATTAAACAGCTGTTGATTGGTCTGTTGGGATCTGGGGCCTATATTCATTGTGGGTATAGCTAGGTATTTCTCTAAGCTGCAGTTGTTAGTACTAGCATTTCTTCTTTTCCTCTCTGGTCTTTAAGATATTTAGTGATGCTATTTGTGCCTCTCTACTTTGTGCAGGAAATGGAAGATGCCCACTTAAACGCTGTCCTCATCCTGGGAGAGGCTTTTGCATCTGAAGAACCTTTTGATTTTGGCAACCAGAGCACCACTGAAAAGATCCATGGTTTAATTCCAGTCATGCTGAAGCATCGGCTTGTTCCTCCACCAGAAGAGACCTACTCTCTTCATCGGAAGATGGGGGGTTCTTTCCTTATCTGCACCAAACTGAAGGCCAAAATTCCTTGCAAAAACATGTTCAAAGAGGCATACAGCAAATATTGGAGCAGTAGGGGCAAGAAGCCAGAGGATTAGTAAGAATGAACTAATGTACCTTGTTCTGAGGGCACAGTTTGCGCCTTGCAAAGAGCGTTCTAGCCTCCCATGTTCCGTTGTAGCTCTCCATCCTCTTGAGATGCAGCAGCCTGTGCCTTGGAAGCCAAGCATGTGTTTCACGAGGACAAAGTTTGTTCTTTCATGTTCTGTCTGTCCTACACTAAGACTGCCAGTACAGTCTGCAGCTTGCAGGAAAATAGCTCAAGCGCTTCTGTACTGTTTCAAGGCATCAGCCAACTACCTTGAATACATTTTTAACATTGTGATGGTGGCTGCATAGTGATTGGGTTTTATAATGGGTAGGTGGACGAGAGCAAGAGTGGAATTCAGTACTAAAACCTGTTGGTAATTCATCCCCTTGAAATACTTTTTTTTTTAAAAAAAAAAACCTTCATTCTTTCTCGATAAGGTGGAATTCAAGTAGTTTTCATTATAGAATGAAATACCAAGGTGTATCCCTACCACGAGGTTCCCCCCCACCTTTGCCCAGGTTTTGGAAGTCAAGTGGTGGCGGTAAAATCCACCTGGATTTTACTGGATTTTACTGACACTGATTTAATACAAGAGGTGTATGTGTGTGTGTGTACATAGCATGAGCTTTTAAACTTTCTGCTCCTCTTTGGCTTGCAAAACAAACATAGGAAACATTTAAAAAGAAGTCTGAGAATTGAGTGCCAAGATTTTTTAAACACACACATACACACACTCACAGTCCTTGGTTCTGGGAGACAAATACTTAACCAACAATACCATATTTCAGCACAGATAGTGGGTTTCTTCACTGTCTGGTAGGTATCATCTTTCCTGATATTGAGTTTGATAAGTTCCATCACTGACACTTATTGCTTGCTGGACTCTTAATTAACAAGTGAGTCTGTCTTTGTGACTGTTTTCTAGTAATGCAAAGCTTATGGCAAGGCAGCCAAACACCTCCTGTCTCTCGTGAAGAATTCAAGCTTTTGCTGATATGACACGTTTAAAACCAGACGCACAATTTTCAACTATTGAAGTCGAGCTAGCAAACTTTCTTAGATTTTTTGTACAAAGCCCTGTACGAGTTCTGATTTCAATAAACAAGTGCTTGTGCGGTGGGCCTGCAGTTTTTCTCTCTTCTGTTGGGGTAATGAATACTTAATTGACTCAGGTGCTATTCTGTGGAATAAACAGCAGAGGAGAAGGGAAAGCTTCTAAGTAAGTGCCTTCCTGTTGTGTTTTTTGGTTCTACAAATTGCTGTGACCATTGCAAAACCATCTGTGGCCTATTTATTCCTTCATCTTTCCACTGAAGTTCTGTCACATGCTAACAGTGGTGCTAATAAGGTTACCAGGAGCCAGAGCAATGCTAGCCTGAATATCTGCCTGCCCACTAAAAATCCCTAGCAACAATATTGTTTTGTTTGTTTTTCCTTTTCCACTCTGTTACAAGTATTCTGGACTTGGGTATTTTGGCCTTCTCCCACTTGTGAAGAAAGTGGCAGTCAGAGTTGATGCTTACCTGGTGCTAGTAAGGCAGGTGTCCTCAGCAGCAGACTCCACTGATCCTATTGAGTTAATGCAGCCCAGGAATGCCAGAGGATTGTATGATCTTACTCTTTGGTACACTGTGAGAAATCCTGCCCTCTGACGTTTCCAGAGGTAAAGAATAGGTAAGTGAATGTACAGCCTCTCTCAGGAGGCTGAGAAATAAGGGAACAGGTAATTGCGTTACCTTTCTTCCACGACCATAAACATGTATCTGCTTCACTTAAGACTTTGTTTCAGAAAGATCCAGTAATAAAAGTCCTCCTTGGATTAGTCCTAATCCTTTGAGAAGTATGAACTCTGTTATTCAGTGAAATAATCATTTGGCATAAAGCTGCTTTTCTTGGTGCTTTGGGTTCTGATCTACATGATGTAGTTAGTAGTTTCTTCTGGCTCTACACTTTGCAGCTGTAAAAAATGTTGATATTGTTTAAGATATTAATGCTTACATTAGAGCTTAAGAAGCAAAGTACAAAAAGCTGTCATGCCTTGGGCTAGGTAAGCTTCAGAGTAAAGCTTCTGCCCCTGGAGACTGACAGCTAGAATGCTTAGAAGATGTGTGAGGAAGACAAAAGAAAACCCCACACATATCATTACTGTTCAGTTTTTCCAGCAGGCACAGCTAGTGAGATTTGCTATGCAGTGTTTGTGTGACCACAGCTCTGGATGCCATGCTGGGGCACAAGTGTTTAATTCTCAGCAAACAATTCCCTTCCCTAGAGAGAGACTCATTGTTAAAGAATGAACAATGGAGTTGTTTTGTATTTGCCTTAAGGATAACAAGTAGCGGAAGGTGAGCTGTTCCCTTATTAGGAGAGCTGAGGAAAGCTCAGGCCCTACTTCTGGCCTTTTGTGCACGTTCCAAAAGCCTTAATAATTTCTGCAGATTTGGCCAGAGTTTTGTGACATGAGGAATTGCTTCAGAGTATAACAGAGCAAGAAACACTGTGCTCTGGCTTGAAGTCAAAGGAATCATGACATTTTTCAAGGAGCAAGACCATCATATCACTGCTGCTTGCTGCTGCTAGTGAATTTGCTTGAGCTGCAAGCAGGGCGTGGGTCTGAATGTTCCTCTGCTGCAGCAAACTTGTAAGTTCTAGAAAGTTCCTTTTGCAGAAACAGTTCTTAGTTCCACAGGGCAAACCAGAGCTTACATTTGCTTCTGTGGAGCTGCATGTTAGCAGTGATATACAGACTTTTTTACTCAACCTGCGTATTGCATCAAGACAGAAAATGAGTGCTGGGAGATGAACAAGGCCCCTAACACACAGCTCACTTTTTACCTCTCTAATGCTCTAATCCCTCGACAACAGAAGGCCTACTGCCATGCACTGCCCAGGTCACAGCGCAAGGAATAGGCAGTGTTCCACCAAGCTACAGCAAAAGATATAAGGGTTTGGGTAAGTTTGTCTGAAAGGTGGTAAGCTGAATAGAATTGCACACCTGCTACTTTTCTTCCCCATGTCCTCATGCAGATGCATTAAATATGCCCATTATATTTTCAAAAACACAATTACATCAACTCCTCAAAGCTTAAGCAGAGGTATGAGAAGAAAAAAAAAAAGACAAAACATCTACATTTCTAACAGTTCCCTGTTTTATTGCAGTACATCAAAGTAGGTTAATATTAAGTGTTACCAACATAAAATATTGGTGGTGAGTCATTTTTACATTGTTGACTTTTCCACCTTAAATATTTCTGTGCAAAAGAATCTACATCATTGTTCTGTAGCAGAGAATCTCTTACAATGTCCCCTACAACACTGAGGGCATTAAACAAAATAGTGAGAAGAGGCAAAAAGCAGAATCTTTCCCCCACACGCACACTTGTCAGCTTTTATAATCTAAAACAAAAAAGTGATTACATCTATGCCATGCAAAACTGTACAATAATATTACAATGAAAAACCTAAAAAATCCCATATTTTAAAAATAAATGATATGAAACTGTCATACATAAAAAGGCAGGTATAATTGCTCTGAATTACCAACACTGGTTTGTTTGTGGATTTCTTCCCTGTGGATGAGACTTTCTTAAACGCAAAGTGAGAACAGGTCATACAAAGCTGTGGCTGGAAAGAAAGACAAAGCGGAGTTGGAATTTAGCATGGAAAGTCCATAGGCCTGCTTCTGAGGGCACCTGCCAAACACAGCCTGAACACACCTGCGCCCTTCTGCGTGCTTTGGTGCTAGTGCAGAAAACCATCCCATTTCCTTTGAGCAACCGACTCCTATGTAAAAAGAAAAAACCCCAAAACCCACAGCTGAAGCTACATGTGCCACTTTGATTCCCAGGCTAAGGAGGTAGGGGTAGTTGCACTGTGATAGATTTAACCTTAATGTATTTGTATAAAACTAAACGAAGTGCATAAAACGGAATGAGAAAGAACACGATGCTCTGGGGACTTCCTTGTTACGACAAGGCCCTTAGCTTCCCTCTGCTGCATACCTGAGACTAACACAGTCGGCTGTTCAGTTTATCAGAACCAAATCAGGCACAGCAAGTTATGAAACTCGCTAAGATGAGCAAAATGCGCATTCCTAACAATCTGCAGCAGCTAACAGAGAGGAAAATCAGCCACTTCCACAGCAACAGGCATGGGTTTCTGGAGCCACCGGCTGTTTTCTACAGGTCAGATAGAACGGAGCAGAGTGTACCCTGCTTTTGGGTGTAGGAAATGTGGAAGGAAAGCACATGTCTGTGTCCATGCACGCACAGGGGAAACCTACTGACCAAACCTTCGCATTCTCTAACCTGGAGTCCTTAGTAGCTGCCTGAATCTTCACATCCTTTGTTGCCTGCAAAATTAAACAATAAAAAGCAAAAAGCCAACATCCCATATGTTTAAGTAGTGTCATAAATGCAAGATACCTTCAGTCTCAGCCAAAAGGAAAAAATCAGCTAGACACATAACTGTGTACACAGAACATATGCTACAGTCACAGACTGAAGGGGAGGTTTCAAGCTCCCCAGACAAGTTGCAGCCCTCAAACTGTGGAGGTGAAACAATGCTACAGTGCAAAGCAGCAGACATCAAACCTTAAGAGACAACTGTCATCGAGATACCAGGCAAAAGTCCTACAGTTCAAATGACCGAGCTGTTTGCCCCAGCCCAATGCATAAAGCTCAGCTACAGAATGCTTTTGTTTTCAGTGTTTGTACCAACAAAAAAGATGAGCATGGTTTAAAATCGAATGTATGATCAAATGGTCCCCAAATACATAAAAACTATTCAAGTCCCAGGACGACATTTTCTTTACCAATAAGTGATGTGGTCATTTGCTTTTCAACTGAGAGAACAGTTGCTGTTTCTCTTTTTAACAGATGCGTAACAAAATGCACAGTACCAACCTACTGATTAAATATAGTAATCCTAAAGGAAAATGCCCAGGCTTAGAAACTGTGGTGCACAAACAGTGCAGTCCTGTGGAGCTCCCCTCCTGCGGAGTGTTGTGTCACACAGCTGCCCTCTGCTCTGCCTGAAAATGCCTGTTTGTAGCGGGTTGGAGTAGCAATCGATGGCAGGCACCAGGACACAGTAAACGGGCACATTCGGTCGCTTTGTTTGCTGTGCCATGGCTCTGTGGGTTCCATTTTCAGACAGAGCATTAACTCAGCTACAAAAACGTCCACAAAGACGATGCTGTGACCCTCTCTCAGGGGACGTGTCGCACAGGCTCTACCTTACGTGACTATTGTTTAAATGCCTTCTCTCTATATCAAAATAAGATTAACGTTTAAATACAACATACAGCAAATACAAAACTAGTCTGCAAAGGCTTTGAGAAGTGTGTGGACATGCTTCACCAAAAGGAGGGAATTGTGGGGAAAAGCAGTGGCTACACTGGAAGCAATAGGCAGCCTGTAAAAAGAAGCTGATGTGGAGATCTAGTGATGCCAATAACGCCCTGCCTCTCTGCCCCTCACAAAGATGAAAATCAGTTCTAGGAGGAATTGACTGCAAGTGCTAAGCTGCTGGCTAAGGCCTTTAGTATTAAATGCCGGGCTTGCAACAGTAGTAGCTTTGAAGTGAAAACAAACCACCATTACCATTTTGCTATTCCAGAAAACCCAAACTTGAGAGAGACAGGTTTTGAAACAATGGTTATTAAAACAAAATGTTGAATTCCTATCCTAATGTAACACTGAGCTTGGACAAGCTGTGATTCAGGGTGAAAAAGAAATCTTACTGAGGAGACCCAGCAGGATAAAATGGTACAGGCGATGATCTCTGCGTCTCATCCCCTGTTCCACACTTAGCTCATACCTGGAAATTACTGTACAGAGTCTGAACTTAGCTATAACTTCCATTACAGAAGACAGAAACTGGAAAACTCCAAACATTTCTATGCGGTTGAAACACAATATTACTGCTAACTGCAAGAATATGGAATGGTTTAAGAGCCATAGCAAGTTTCTGAAACCCACAAAAAACAGTATTCTAAATACAAAAAGCCCTTACATGTTTGAATATGGTCATAGTATAATGCCAGCAACAATACTACTGAGAAAAGAAGCTCATCTGAACACTCCTAAATGAAAAACGCATCTGCCTTGCTATCTAAAGAGAGAGAGAGATCTTCCTCTTACCATCCCTTTGTACGTCAGTTTCTCAATTTATTTCGGTGACTGCATGACCAGCTTCAGCTTTTTACTTATTTTTGCAACCTCAGTGGGCTCTGTCATCCACTGCAACACTTTCTGCCTTCCTGGCCTGCGACTGGAACTGAACAGCAGGTGAGCACAAACAACTGCAAATTACACAGACCCACAGCACGGGTTGGGAGGGAGAGGAAAACCAACCTTACCCGCACGGCAGTTGTGGGTGACTAGGCATCTGTGATGGCCACAGTGTGAACAGTGTGAGGTCAGTCTTCAAGGTTTGTTGTTGCTACAGTGACAGCACAGCCAGCAGTAGCTAGCTTCAGAGTAAGAGCACTCATTTGGCTGATGTGTATTATAAACTATTATTTGGTAACAACAGTAACAGGTTTCTGTTAAGGGATGATGAAAGAGATGTGGGAGACTGCTCCCTTCCTAGTGAAGCCCGGTCAAAGTCTGACCCAGGGAAACAGTTTTCCTGCTGAATCCTGTGGCACTGAGCTCCCTTGCTTCTGTAAGGACCTCCACTGCAGGTTTCTCAGCTGCACAGCCACACACCAGCACCCAGCGTGACCAGCTGGCTGATGGGTGCCCTCGGGTGTCAGGGCAGGAGAGGGGGTCACTTTCCAACCATTGCCATTTTTGCAAAGGAGGGGGATCAACACGAACTTAGGAATTATAGCCTCAGATGCTACTGCCAGAAATAAAGAAACGTTGAGAAAGTACTGCAGGAGCTTCTCCCAGCAGTGCAGCAAATGATATGCAAAAGGAATATCTGTCCTGTGAAAGGTTTTAGGCCAGGCCTCCAAGTCTGTATATCACTGAGTATGAAAACAGGGACAACACAAATCTTAAATTAAAGGCTCTCTTAAATAAGCATCCATCTTCTGCTGCATACACAATGCTTTTTTTTTTTTCTTTTTTTTTTCTTTTTTAATATATACATACATATTTTACTCTAACATCTGTGTATTTATTTAAACTCTGTACTGTAGTAAAATATGCATCATCTTAATCAATAAGGATTTGCTGGCAACAATCAGATAGACATTCAAACATGGTGGCTGAAAGCTTTTATGTGCCTCTGACATACCAATCATTCCCCATGCAGGGGAAAGGGTCTCTGTGCTGCTTCTGTACAGTACAATGAGTTATTGTACGAAAAAAAATCCCTCTAGATTTTCTCTTGCCGATACTGGTCTGGTCTATTTAAGTTACTTTTGAGGGAATTGCAGGGTAGGATAAATATATGTCTTTGAAAATGAAAGCAGCTGTAATCGCAAAAGATGAAACCAATACTAATACAAATCTACAGCATCTGATATTTACCAACACCCTAGCTTTGCTCATTCGCTGCTGTCAAATCTGGGGAAGGGAGGGTGAGGCAGTGCTGCAGACAACCAGCTTCTACCTTCCTCTCTACCCGACTCCCAGTTGACTTTCGGGTGGGGAATGAGAAGGGTTAGGATGGTGAAGGTGTGAACTGGAGCAAGTGAAGGGGACAGCAAGCTGCTGTAGTGTCAAATCTGCTGAAGCAGTTCATGAGTCCCAACTCACGTGGTCAGAGCTCTCCAGGGAGAGGCTCTTGGTCTTGTGGGGAGAAACAGGGCTGGGAGGGCTGCTGAGGTTGGAGCTGTTCGACGCAGTGGAGTGTCTCGGCGAGTCAGAGTCCTGCAGCCAAAATACACAGAAAAACACCAGTAAGTAACAGGATGGAAAGTTTGAGTGCAGGTGTCTGAGCAACAAGTGACTGGATTCAGAGGCATGCACATATTTTGTGCTGAAAAATACTGAGTTTTCTCAGCAAGGGTGTGAATTAAGAGTAAACTGTCAGATCAGTCTGCTTACAGCAGGCATAACCTGATGGGGATAGAAGGACACAGCAGCTGTGGGATTCCTGCAGATTACACGTCACTCTGCATTGACAGTGTGCAGCATCAGGCTGTGAGCTACATCCCCTGCCTTTTCACAGATCTGAGATGCTCTTGTACTAAACAGTGGAATCTTCACTGTATAGGCTTCATCACAGTTTCTTCTGTGATGCTCCCAGGAAATTAATTCAATCCATCCAGATCAAGTTAGCCTTGTTAGCTCTTCCACAGTACATACAAATATGTCTGACCTGTATTTGGGTTGATGCTTGCCTGCCAGTTTTAACTGGAAGGATATATTTTCTGTACAGTGAAAATCCTGTGTGATCTCTAAATTTTCACATTTCTTGATTAGAAAACAGTCTGGGGTAGTTTTGCTGGCCAACGTGAGATTGAACTCTTCTATGTATAACTTTCTTGGTTGGAAGGACTGAGTTTAGCACTGCTGTCCTATTGTAACCATAGTCTTATTTTGCACAGTATATAAATGATTAAATCCAGTTTCTGCTCTAAATGGAATTGTTACATGATAATTCTTAAGTAATCTCATTAACCTCAGACACTCAAGAGTGAACACTACAACAAAATATCTGCTGTGAAATGTTTGCTACTACAGCTGAAGAGTCTTTGCAAATAAAGGACAGAAGGAGTATCGGCACTTCAAGCTTTGAGAGGTTGCTATCAAACTGTAAGTCTGCTCAGCCAGTATTTCTGGAAGCCTCACTGCTCCTGAAATCCCAGGTAAGGAGCACAGTGAGAATTTTCTGACGTTAAATACCAGGACCAGAGTTGAAAAAGAATCAGAACCATCTAGGTTGGAAAACATCTTCAAGATCAAGTCCAAACATCAAGCCAACCTACCGAGTCCCATCTGTAAACCATGTCCCTAAGTGTCACATTCACACATCTCTGAAATACCTCCAGGGATGGAGATTCCAGCACTTCCCTGGGCAGCCAGCTCTAATGCTTGACCACCCTTCCCGTGAAGAAATTCTTCCAAATGTCCAGTCTGAACCTGCACTGGTACAACTGGAGGCTGTTTTCTCACACCTTATCACTTGTCTCCTGAGAAAAGAGACTGACATCCTCCTCACTGCAACCTCCTTTCAAGTAATTGTAGACAGCGATGAGGTCTCCCCTCAGCCTCATCCTCTGCAGACTAAATAATCCCAATTCCCTCACAAGCCTTGTTTTCTAGTCCCTTCACCAGTTCTGTTGCTTTTCTCAGCACGCGCACAAGCAACTCAATATACTTGTAGTTAGGGGCCCAAAACTGACCACAGTATTTGAGGTGCAGTGTCACCACTGCCACATACCAGGGGGCAATCACATACAAAGCCTTGTCAGCACAACTCGAAACACAAGAAATAAAAGTTCGCAAATTCAACAGTGAGTTTTCATTTCAACAGCGATTCCCAAACTTGCAGGCAATCAAGGAGTTACACCAAACCCACAACATAATTTAAATTCCTCATCTTTATCAATGCACTTAGATTTTTTCCTCTTTATCCTATCACTCACCTCTCGCTCATAGTCCCTTGTTGGTGCATCACTGCCTTGGTCCAGGCCACCAGAGGATAAGGAACCATCTGAGGGCGATGCCATAGGCTGACGCTTTGCTCCATAGCTACCTCCTGAGAATTCCCTCCGCAATGCACTGCCATTTTGTGCAGATGATCCTAAAATGTGCAGAGGAATTAAACCATTGCAGATGCCCAGACAAGGTACTAGAAAGATGTTAGCTATTTGGCTGGCTACTTCTGCTTTCCTCTGGCATGTCCCAGGATGCTCAGCTCATGGCTTGCCGTCTACATGTGCTTTTATCTTGTCTGATGCTAGATGCAGTTTTTCCTCTGCTCCTCAACATGTCAGGGTTAGCATACAGCAGAGACATAGTCACTGTGTCCCTAACAAAGACAGCAGTTGAATAAACTGCTGTGGTGGCAGTCTCGTTCTAGGCATCTCTCCCCAGCAGTACTGGGAAGAGGTGGAGCCGTACTGGAACACGCAGACTACAGAAGACATACAGGTTTTCTGCAGTCTGTTGGCTATCTTCACATGCTCCATTATTCAGTTGCTTGCCTCATCTCAGCACAGATCATTTTGCTGACTCTGGCACACAAGGACAGCATGGCAGCAGTAGGAAAGCTGTTTCCTATGCACTGTAACTCTTCTGTACCAGCAGGTTTTCTACTAGACCCTCTTTGCACTAACAGCAAGAGAGGCATCAGGAGCTCTAGAGAGTTCAGTAACAAAATTAATAAATGTAGAGCTCATGAACAACTTGTCAACAATTTACACCACTCCAGCTGTAGCAAAGAAGTCCCAAGGGTAAGGATGTCTTTTCATTTCTAACTGCAGTTGTAAAAAATTGACAAATTCCAAATGTGGGAAGTCAAATCTGCTAGCTGCTTATTGATGGGCTTCTTTGGGCTTGAGATTACAGTTCCGTCCAGCCCACAGAGGGAGGACAGCCAGCCATGGCCTCTGAAAGTCCTGTCTAGTGGCAGCACAAATAGAAGCAGTGCAGGTAGCTCTTCCTTAACACACGTGTGCACAGCCCCAAAGCAACACAGATCTGATTGCTTACTTGCTGCTAACCCACTGCTTGCGCTCATCGATCGTCCTGGTTCTGTGCGGGATTTCGTGATCGATGGGATACTGACAGAGCCACTGAATACGGTCCGACTTTCCTGAGGCCGAAGATTCTGCAATGCAGACACACAACAACATGTTTCTTATTGACTGCCGGCTCAACCTTGGACGTTACGGAGGAAGGTCTCAGAATGCAACAAATCCCCAAACCTTACCAGAGCTGAATTATCTGAGCAGCAAGTCAGCAAAATTTGCAAAGTAATATTCTGCAATTTAGTGCAGAGACTGGAAGCACACGCAGCTGACAATGAAGTGCTGAATTACATGGACATATGCAGAGAACTGAAAAGGTAGGTCTAATAATTCAAGAATTTCCTTGAAAGGATGGTTTGAAAGCCTAAGCTGCTACAGACGTAATTCCATGTTTATTGCACAATGCACTCTTTCTGAGCACATGCTTCTATGGATTTTGTTAAAATTTCCCTGTGATACCACCACTTGTGGCTTGCACGTGCAATTTTGTACAGACATCATATGAACCCCCAATGCCTGCAGAGTTAGGGACACATAGTGGATCATAGGATCAATCTGTCAGATAACTGAGGTGGTTCCAAAGATACTAACAGCATTTCTTCAGACCTACACCAGCTGAACCAAAGCCAGAATCATCATCATGGTTTCAGTCTGCTCAGAGCACCCACCACTGGTTACTCTATGGATTGCCATTGTCACTGAATTGAAGCGGTCCTACACTGAGGGAACAGATAAAACAGCGTCTTTATTTGAATATGGCAGCTCCTTAAACACAGGTTATGTCTTTAAAAGAAAAAAAAAACTTTGATATAATTTCTGGGAGATTTTATTTCTGCTTCTGTTAGCTACAGCTGACTTCAGGAGAAAAGGCTTCTCAGCTTATTTAACCCATCTCTTTGTATACAAGCTGTCTTCTTAGCCCAAAATATCCATGCCTATTGTTTCATCTCTGCCTAAGAAAGAGACAAATGTGATTTACACTTTTAAGTGATTAGCATTAATGAGAATTAGGCTTGGGAAACCTTTACAGCTGCAGACTGTGAAAAGAGCTGCAGGTATCTCTGAATATTACTTTGTTTCCACTTCGCCAAACACTTGCTGCAATAATGGTTATTTCTTTCCATTCACATGTCATTATTTCCCCACCCTCACTCTGAGATAAAGTAACCAAATAAAAACCTATGTTTTCTACTGCAATACCTGTCTAGGCTGAAATGTTACAGAAGAGAAATTTCCACCCCCTGGATGGATACTCTGAAAGACTCTCAGACACCATCCATTTCTCTAGCTGTATTCTAAACTGACTAATCAGATAGAGGCTTTGTAAAGAACAGGTATCAGGTGTGCAGACTTTATCAGATAATTGTTAAAAACCAGCTGTCAGTCCAATTTTACAATGACCCCTTAGAGTCATTGCTGTTACAGACCTCTTTGCTACTATAGTCATCAACTCTTTGCTTTTCACTCTCCCAGTGGCCTAGGAATGACAGATTTTTAGCATGCAAAAAAACAAAGAATTAAAAACCTCTCAAACACCAACAAAATACACGAGAGCTTACCAGTGAAAAAGCCCCGTTTACTTCTCCCTGTAGCTACTGCTGCACTGTTTTCAAATCTCTTTCAAAAATCCCTTGAGGATCACACTGCTGCCTCCTGCTTACTGTTTGTTTCCCAAATGAGGACAAATAACCTACTCTGCAGCACTGAATTTGCCTCCTGGTGTCCCTCACCATGCCATAAGTGATCTGCGCTACAGCTCTGTATGAGCAGCCTGGCTGTGCACTGACACCAGTGGCCCTACAGTAGATATAAAAAGGAACCACAAGGACAGGGAATGGCTCACTGCTGTGTTTTGAGAACTGTACAGGAGAGCCAAGTGCAGCGGCACTGGTCAGTACACCAGAGCTGCATGGAAGGAGTTCTGTACTTGTAGAACAGACAATGTTTCATGTTGCAGGGACAGCAATTATAAGTAATGATAAGGAGACTGACCTTCTTAACAGTGACTGAGCAGGCAACATACAGGCATCAGGGGAAGGAAGGAATGGGTGCATTAAAAAGACTAATTTATTTTATCTGTGTAGTCTTATAGTTATTTTTTTGACCTCAGTTTGCAAAGTCCATGTAATTCCTTGTAGAAAGTTTTTCCACAAAGCAAATCTCCCCTTGTTCTTTGATCTAAAATAAAAGAAGCACATGCTGGAGACCCTGGCACTTTGGACCCAAGGTGATATGCACACAATGCAGAAAGGGGATTCAAAGAAAAATAAATGGCAGTTAGCGGTAGTTATCAAGCAGCCAAACACAGCAAATTAAAAACAGAAGGGAAAAAAAAAAAAAAAAAAAGAAAAAGAAACCCGAGGTTGCTTTACTTAGAGACAAAAACCCCTCATATGGAGTAACAATCCAAATCCTAGCAGGTAAATTCATCCCTGCTGCTGAACCAAATGGAGAAACATGACAGGATTTCTCTTTGAAGAAAAAACCTCAGCAGCAGAGAAGCTGCTTGCTGAGCAGTTACTTGCCATGCAGCAGTGAATGACCAGTCAGTGGGTGCAGCCCCACTGGGAGGCAGTGCTCCTGAACCCCAGCTCACACCCAACACCTGCCACAGCGCCCACAATGCTTGCCTGCAGTACTTCTTGTTGTTTGTTTTCTTGTATTAATTGAGGTTCTGTTCATTATGATGTAAACCTAAGCTTTTCTTTTTTTAAGAAATGGCAGGACACGACTTAAAAGCCTATTTTAAGGGTTCGTTTTCAACTCTTGCTACATACTCCAGATTTCAATATTCAGTCAGTTCATGGGTCCCCCAACCCCTGCACAGGGACTGCTATCGTTCTTGTACTAAAAACTCCAAACACAGAGAAGGATATGGGCAGACACAAAAGCAAAATCCATGGCTTTACCTTCCAGAGACGGCTTAAAGTATCTCTTCCCTGAAGCCAAAAAGAGACAACTGCTTTCCTTCACACGAGCCTAAACCTCCAGTGCTCTAAGGGGCAAAGAGGCACAAAATTTCAATGCTCCAGGCTGTTTCTCCAGAAAAGCCAGGATGGATGCAGACCTGTCATCAGAGGATGTTTTCCAAAATGCTGCAATTTCATTTTTGGATATTAATGTATGTGACCACTACACAACAGTGACATGAGTGTGCACATGACCAGACAAAGTTCATGGTGTGAAATTTTGTTCTGGGGATTTATGGAAAAAATATTTATTTTCCTCCTGCATTTTTAAATTCTATTCAGTGTTGGATGCAGATTTGCATTACAAACCCCTCCCCAGTGACAGGGACCAAGAACAGCAAAGCAGTCTGGCAGTGAAGGTTTGCTGTATGTGTCTGAAGAGTGTCAAAAGGCCTCACAAACCAACAGCTGTGTTTCCATCACAGTGGCAGGCACAGCTCGGACACACACAAACCCTCAGCAACCATCCAACACTAAAGAACCACAGATCACCCACCAGCTCATGCTGCTTGGGGCCCACCCAATGTGGCCTTGAACACCTCCAGGGATGGGGCACCCACAGCTCTCGGCAGCAGTGCCAGGACCTCTGAGCAAAGAATTTCTTCCTAACAGCTAACCTAAATCTCCCCTCTTTTAGTTTAAAGCCTGTTGTCCTGTCACTATCAGACCATGTAAAAAGTTGGTCCCCCTCCTGCTTGTAAGCTCTCTTCAGGTACTGGAAGGCCACAGTGAGGTCTCACTGGAACCTTCATTTCCCCAGACTGAATAAGTCCAGTTCCCTCAGCCTGTCTTAGGAAAGATGTTCCATCCCTCTGAGCAACTTTGTAGCCTCTCCGGACCTGCACCAACAGCTCCATGTCCTTCCTGCACTGGGGGCCCCAGGCCTGGCCACAACACTGCAGGTGAGACCTCACAGGCACAGAGCAGAGAGAACAATTACCTCCCTAGCCCTGCTGACCACCCTTCTTTTATACACATCTACTTCACAGATTATTCATGATCTATCTGCAAATCTGTTCCAAAGCAGAACTGCAGGCCACAGCACAGAACACAGTTACAATGCAGCAGGAGGTACATAAGGGCTTGTTTTAGTACGGCCTTCTATTACCATAGGATATAGCAACCTCACGTAAGTCAGGCCAGGATACACAACAACAAGCAAAAAGAAAGCATCACTTCCATCCCTCAGATTTTACGTTCCAACTGGAAGGATAATTACAGCACAGTATCTTACTTCAGTCTCTGTTTAAAATTACCAGGATTAAGAGGATCAATATGAACAAGTACCCAGTATCTTTAATTTCTGATCTTCCTGCTTGTATGTATTCCAATTTTCTTTTAACTGAACCTAGAAACCTAAGTAGGCACAATCTGTGTTTCTCTCCGTGTACAGTACTGTGTAACATTACTGCACTCCCACTATTTCACTGTAAACAAACAGCTTGAAATTTTGGTCCAGAGACAGATCCAGAATCCTTTTCCTAGTGCAACCTGACACACAGCATCCTGTCTCTGCCATTGACTGCTGGAGATGTACGGTGTGAAACACAAACATTATTCAGATTTCCCACAACCTTCCTGGTAACTAAAAATGCCGTTTTCATAGCAAAAGGTTCAGCCCAGTTGGTAAACATTTTTTTTCGTTTATCTGTATCTGTTTTTTAGCTCGTCAGAGCTGCTGAAAGACCACAGCTGGCAGCAGAAGACAAATCAGCTGTGATAGAAGAAAGCAAACAGGCGAAGGAAACCACTTTCCAAGGGTTTTTCTCCCATGTTAATAGCCAGGCAAAAGGAAAACCACACAGTGTTAGTAGAGTGAACACCTGACCCAGCCATCCATACCCTCTGAGTCATAAAGTTTGGAGTACCCAGGGCAGAGCACGGAGGCGGGGAAAATGCAGTGTTTATGGAATCGTAAGAGAGGAATTTTTCAGCTGAATTAACAGTCATGTGGTAGATGTGTTCAAAGTTGCTCGGAGAGGAGATCAGACGGGAGTGATGATGAGGGAATTGATAAGGGGAGCGCTGCTATCAAAGACAACAGAGAGAGAAAGCAATGAAGGATGGTTGTACAGGTTACACCAGCAACAGCAGTCTGCAAGAGCAGTCAAACACTGACGGACAGCCGAACAGCAGCCCTGCTCACTCATCAGCACGTGGGTTCTTACATTGTCACCCCCAGTCCTCTGAGCACCTTCCTTACATGGTATCACATGGGCCTGCCGCCCTTGCTGTTGCTAAAACATTAAAAACAAATAAAACTTTTAACTCATTGGGAATCGATTCTAATATTTATTATAATTTGTATTTCAAAGAGCACCACAGTTGTAGAAGGTGCTTTACAGACAGTTGAGAAGCAATCAGTTCCCTGCCTTGAGGAGCTTACAATCTAAAACAGACATAACACAAAGGAAGGTGAACACAGGTGAGATGGAGTGGGGAGGAAAAAAAGATGAGAATACACAACAGTTAAAGATTGTAAGAGATTTCCTTCTGTTTTTCATGCATTTTAACGTTTCCATTAAAATTAAGTATCACCCGTACAACAAACACAGAGTATTTCTAACGGGAGTGAACAGCGTTTCAACAGGATAGGGACACAGACTGGGTGGGAAGGTGAACTGGTTAGTCAGACAACGGGGACAATTTACTCTGTTGCAGACAGACAACACAAGGCCTACATCCTTCTGTGTGATCACTGAGCCTTACAGTGCTTTAGTGAGGCATTCAGACTTTGCTCCGCCATCTGCTTGCTGCAGAAGTGTATGCCCTTATCAGATAAGGTGCAAAAGTACTGGGAAATTCAAATGTTTTTAACAGGTTAACTGAGCAATGTGCTCCCAAAGTGTGACATACAAGGAGGAGAAAACTAATCCTGCAGATTAAACAGGAACAATTTCTGATTGATCTCTATAGAATGTGCTGACACAAGTGCTCTTGTTATTAAAACTCACGTAAATCTAGATGTAAGAGAAGTTTCAGGGCTTGATCTCACTCCCTGTGCCATCTGCACACTTCCAGCAGGCCAGCCTGATGTGTGGATGGTGCCCAAAAGCCACCAGCAAATCAAAACACCAGATCTAACTTTCCCTTCCCCACGTGTAACTGATTTTATCACCTTAAAAGAAACAGATCTGGGTACCATTCGAAATGTTAGGACTTAAAAAACAAAAACAAAACAACATGGTAGAAATTCAGCTTACCCCTCTACTAAACCTAAGGCACTACTTTTTGTATGTGGAACATATTGAAGTTTGAAAGAACATTAAATAACATTCCAATACATATTAGCAAACATTATTGTTACTGTTCTTCATTTCCCTCAGCTGGTAAAATCCAACTTTGTTGTTGGTTTTTTTTTGTTTTTTTTTTTTTTTAAATGCACAGGTATTATGAGGCTTTGCATGTTAAATGAAACATCAATTACCACATTATGGCATTTAAGACATAATACACATTAGGTTGTTATTAGAAAGTTTAGCAGCATCTAAATATGAGTACTAGAACCCACCATTCCAATAATGGTCCATGAAAGCAGACTTTGGCAAGTCACCTGCTACCAAGAGAACCAGCAGCAAAGCCAGCTACGTTCTTAAAAGCCAATGAGGGAGAGAAGGGAGAGTCTAAAATCGCAAGCTGAAAAGCAGAGGGTAGGCCAACTGCAGACCATGAAGATATTTAGCCAGCATTCATGAATGTGAAGAAGCCACAATATATGGCAACATTTTAAAAACGATCCTTGGAACTCTCTCCATGGACTCTGCCATTAGATGCATGCATGCGGCTCCCACTTTCTTTAAAGAATACCAAATATATATTTACTCTGAAAGTTTCTCACTTGAAACAAGCAAAGCTTCACACATAATCTGTAATGGAAGTATAATGGCTCATGTATGATGAGATCAAACTGAAGCATAATGTTCAAATATAATGGCAGTTGAGACTAGCTGTTGTATGTAAAATACTCAGACATGCAGAATATGAAAGCAAAATCAATCCTGTAAATCTGATGTGCACAGAGAGGTGGTCTGTGCTGCAGTTAGTGCAGTTCCAGATTTCAGATCTTCACTACAAAGGAGCATCCACGATAAAGTGGCTTCAAGGGACAAGAGGGCAGAAGGGAGGCCAGACTGTACGGCCAGCTAATTGGTGACAGGCTGCTAGGGAAGAAAAACACGTACAGAAATAAGTTTGGGGATACACTGACATGAACCATTCTAAATTGTACACAGCAAAACAATGATCCCAATCGAGTATCCATGTCAATAAAATACAAATCTGTACTGATTACAGCTCTGCAAATTGAAATTAAGAATTTCTAGTTTCTGCTATGCTGTAGCCCACATCCTTGCTTGTCACAGCCAGACTCCTAAGTTACTGCTAGCAATGAAGAAAAGAAGGATGCAAAGTTGTTTGAGTCTCTAATATATTCTCCTTTAAATGTGATCTCATTCTGAGCCTTGGGCATATTCATTTCTGTATAAACACAGGACTAGGCTGAAGAAAAGAATGTCCATCACAGAGAGATGGTGGGACCAGGTGAATAGGCTGCAATTTGCCATAAACACATCTCACTGCTCATGTCACGTGCTTGTTGCATACCAAGACTTCGGAAACAACACACAGAGAAAGCAACTTTTCCCCTCGAGTGGCTGCATCAGCAAGGACATTCACATGCAGACAGACATGCTGTGCATACGGAGGCATCTGTTCAGTATACAGCACATCAAACAAACAGTAATCATATTAAACTCTCAATTTTTCTGATTTTCACTTTGTACTTTCACAATTCAAATTAAGCTCTCTGAAGTTGATCTTCTAAAACACATCACTAAGGACAGTAGTAAGCTGCCAGCCAGCAAACTCCTGTTGGCCCTACATCCAGCAGGCAGTGACCTGCCCTCCTTGCTGCAGCCTGCCATGCAAATGCTGCTGCTACCACTTCTAATGCCATGCTCTGTTCAATTCTAGGCACTTGGCCTGGAAAAGGTAGCAGAAGCAGGTTAGTGGGACTTGCAGAGACAAGTTTTGGATTTACTTCATGTATATATAGATATCTATATTATATATGCATATATATACACACTATATATACATATACACACTTTGCATATAGTGTGTATCATAAATAAAAATAAATAAATGAAAATTTAAATTGCCATTTGCTTTAGAGAGTTCACCCATGGGTGCTAGATAAAAGCTAGGCTGTTAGTTTGTGACAGTACCATTCAGTGCAGAGATAAAAATATCCATTCTCTATCAAATCCTATTAACAAGGACCTTTCTGCCTACATAATACTATACTGATCCCATGAAAACTCATGCTGGATGAACAAATTCCTATCAGCAGACCCAGCCAAATCTGAAATTGCTCGAATAAGTCAAGAAGAAACAGCAAGTAAAATAGGCTTGGTCCATCATTTTCATTCACTTTCTGTATTCCATAAACAACATCGACTAAAATAGTTGGATGATGGCAATTTGAGAAAACCACTGACCTTGCACCACTTGTTCCCCCTAGTGGCAGCACCCTTCCAATGTAAAAATGTATTTCCTCATCCCCTTTGGGCAAACAAAATGAAGCATTTCCAAAGTAAAATGCTACTTTCCAAAGTAAAATTTTTCCCACATACCTTTAAGGATAAATACCTTTTCTTCTGAAAAAAATACATCCTATTTAGTACATATAGTAGATATGCTGGCTGCAAAATAATCACACATGCTAAGAAACATACACAAAAAAAACTCTTCACCATTTGGAACAAGGCTTGAATCTATTGAAATAATTTTACATCTTTGAAAAGAAACTGTTGTACTGATGAGCTGTATGTAAGACTGGATGAGTATTCTTTACCTCATGTACCGACTTTTTAGAGAATGTCCTATATCCACCCTTTCTTTTTATTCTTTTTTTTTTTTTTGTCTTTCCAATAAGACACTGGACTCAAAATATAATGTCAACTGCAAGCACAGCTCCTTGTCCTCTATTTTCATGCCAGAGAAAACAAAGGGAGGCAGCTTGGATCAGACTATACCAAGACTTAGTCCAGTCAAACACCTTACAGGAAATTGGTAGAAAACAGAAAGCTGCCTGGGCAGAATTAGATTGTGACAATTTCTTTTTCCTAATCTCAAGTTACACTTTCAAGTTCACCCACTTCTAAGTCCCATGGTTGGTGCTGTACTGGAAGGAATACAAACAATGATACTGCAAGGAGCTACTGGGATAACAGACATCAAATTTGCTTTACCTGCAGTGACTTCTGCAAGCATTAAGACTACTTGCAACAAGGGAGTTTTCAATAGCAACTTCAGAAAGAAGCTGTAGCAGTCAAACGAGTGCAGAAGTCAATTCTATACTGTTAGTATCTTCTATTGTTTCTTCTATATCGTAGAAAGTGACTCCTAAATTTCTTTTAAAACATTACGTTGAAGGGTAATAAGCAAAGTACCAGTCTAATCTCCAAACATGACCTTTGACCCAATAAAAGACTTGTGTAACTGGAATGAATTTAAAGCCAAAAGCCATTTAATGATGACAAAGCTGAAGAAATATTAATCCAGGTGAGAATCTAGAAAACCTCCAGCTATAGGTAACTTTATTCCTTATTTTACAGTTGATAGATTTGGGCAATATTTTGATTAAGAGTCTTCTCAACTTTTGATTTTCATAAATTTTCAACAATTGTGTGAATTATGATATCTTTTACCAGTAGTAGTTTATTTTCTTTGCTAAGAAAAAGTCAGAAGTATTTGAAGGAACCCAGCAGAAAAGGAAGAGTTAAAAAGAGGTCTGGATTTGCATCTTGCCCTGAAGCAAATTATCATTACTTGTTAAACACTGTACACGTATATATACAACCACGTGAGAAAAAGTCAGCCAACTTCCCTTGGATTTGTCTTGTGTTTTCTAGAACCAACCATCTTCTTTTCACTTGTAGTTCATTTATAAACACATGCATATACACAAAATGCTGCTCATTGCTCAACTGCACTGAGTCTTATTGGCTCTTCTAAGCGTCTCTCATGAGATTTAAAGGAAATCCTTTCCCTTCCCTGCCTGTCCTCATACAAGTAAAAGCTAGTGCCAAAAGGGTTCATGTAAAAGATGAACATCTTTTACATGAAGTAACAGTGATGAAGTACAGTGTAGCATAAAGCACAGTTTTTTTGTAAAAGTGAGATAAAACGAGAACCTGGAAACCAGAAGTTAAGATCCTAAACCCATGAACTACAGCAGATGCAAGGTTTCTTTTCCAGTCTTACTGTTACTTCCGTTTAGTTTTTCAGATACTGAAAAGCCCTCCTACTTCCTGCCTTGACTCCAAGCAATAGTGATGATCATTTTAGACAGCGCTGCTGTAGTGATTGTACAATGGCTTAGGTTAGAGGGGACCTTAAATATCATCTAGTTCAAATCCCCAGCTGTGGGAAGGGCTACCCCCCATCAGCTCAGGCTGCCCAGGGCCCATCCAACCTGGCATTAGGATGAGGTACCCACAGATCTGGGCAGCAGTGCCAGGGCCTTGTTGCCCTTTGAGTAAAGAATTTCTTCCTAACATCTAACCTAAATCTTTTAGTTTAAAATCATTCCCCTTTGTCCTATCACTGTCAGATAGTGTAAATAGTCAGTTCCTTCCTGTTTGTAAGCTCTCTTCAAATACTGGAAGGTCACACTGAGGTCTCACTGGAACCTTCATTTCTCCAGGCTGAATAAGCCCAACTCCATTAATCTTTCCTCTTAGGAGAGGTTCTCCAACCCTCTGATCATCTCCTCTAGACCTGCTTCAACAAGTCCACATCCTTTCTGTATTGCGGTGGCCCCAGGCCTGGACACAGTACTCCAGATGCAGCTCCACAAGAGCAGAGCAGAGAGGGACAATTCCCTTCCCTTTCCACGCTGGCCACTCCACTTTGGATGCAGCCAAGGATACTGATGGACTTTCAGATTGCAAATCTGCTGCTCACGTCTAGCTTTTCATCCACCAGAATGCTCAGGTCATTCTCCGCAGGGCTGCTCTCAAGGAGTTCTTTTCCTAGTCTGTATTTACATCTGAGATTTTCTTGATCCAAATGCAACACTTTGCATGTGGCCTTGTTAAATCTCGTTAGATTCTCATCTTGGTGCTCACCTTTTGGGCATGTTCAGGTCTCTCTCATTGGCATCCCACCCTTCTATTTAGTCAACAAATATGCTATGTGCCTATGTCTTATGGAGGTACTCATATCATCTATTAGTATCATATAATCTGACCTTTCTTACAGAGTTCATTATCATACCCTGAATCACATCTATCATGAATTAATTTAGAAGGCAATACATAACACACAAACAAGATGCTCAACGTAGCTACAAGTAATGTATGATAAAATCCTAATATTAATTCACCTTTATCTCAGCAAAAACTACTCTAACTTCAAGGAGAGTATTTCCTAAATAAGGCTTTGTGGAAACAGACATGTGAGCACTATGGTTTGTATTCAAGTAAGAAGTTCTGTTTCACTGATAATAATTAATTTGGAAAGGAGATGAGAAAGTAGCATCCTATTCACAGAAAGAATTTTGGTTACTATATATTGTTAAATTCCCACAGTTTCACTGTCTAAGGAGAAGAGGTTGGAGAGGGAGAGGCTAAATTGGAAGTAAGGACAAGAAGAGAAGAAAGGAATTGAACTTACAGTAATATAGATCATGAAGAAAGGAATTTCTCTTTCCATTTCCATACAGAATCCTGGCACAAATCCTCTTAATTGTGTATCTTCTTATGTGTTAGAAAAACTATAATCAGCACTGAGAGACCAATCTGTCTTAACACCCAGGAAGCATTAGTCATTCCTTCCTTCACCCTCAAGTGTCTTCCTCTCCAATTAATCACTAGCACCTGAGCATGTTCCATGTCATTTACCTAGTTACATTGCCACTGATAGGAAACAGATCAAACACTCTCAACGTACACCCAAAATTGTAGTTGTTCTTCTTTTTCTTATTTGTAGCCTCTTTTGAAGTAAGTCACTCTCACATACGCTTCTGCACTTACCATTGGAAGGTCTTTGAGAATCTGTATGCCATCTCCAGGACCCATATGTGCTATGTGGTTAAAATTAGTTGGGTTAGAAATTAATTTATTTCTCATTTCTGGATCGCGTAGCATCTCCCTGGAAGAGAAAATACTGTTCAGGAATCTTGTTCAAGATGAAAATAGCCATTTAAAAATAGTTACAGCTTTGATTATCAGCTATTTTAAAGGGAAGTTAACTGTTCAGCCATTTTAACAGTAATAAATTTTTGCTGTCAGCACTGGTATGGACAGGTTTTCACCTTGAAGAGAGCTATAGCCCAGAACAAATGAATGCTGTTTTGCAAGCTAACAGCCCATACACCCAACAGCTACCATTAAGAATATACAAACACTATGAGCTGATAAAAAGCTCTGTAACATGAGCAAGAGCAGAATTCACGATGCTGTATTACACCTACATATTGCACCTCTATACTGTATGTAGGAACATGCATTCCAAACAACAGCTGTTTCAGATGATTTGAATCAATGAAATTACTTGTGCAGCCAGTGCAGAAGACAAGTACAGGTTGAACACTGACCTCCTCTGCTGCATCCTCTCCTCTTCTGGTACTCTGAATGAATAACGGCGCTTGTTGTTGATGTTTCGAACCATTTGCTTCCGGCTGTTATCTGATGTTTCAGGAACCACCAGTTCATCACCCTCTGGAATCAATACAAAAATGATCCAGTGGGCCACTTCATTGGGCATACATGGAATAATAATCCAAAGACATTTTCTCTGCTTTTGGCAGTGCAGCACACCACACATTTCCCATGAATTTCCCTGAATAAACACTCCTTGATGTAGGAGTTTTCTTGATCACTTATTACTCTCTTATACAAAAGCAGACTTAACCCATCTTCACATCCAAGTTGCCATAACCATATTTTCTCAAAATAGTATAGATTCTTTCAAACAAAACCTTTATCTTCCCTTTTCAAGGAAAATATTCTTGAAAAATCTTCACAGTATGAAACATACTTTGACACATAAACAAGCCTACGATGTGTCTTCTCACAGTGAAGAACCAAGAGCCTGGAAACATTTAGGTGGGCAGGAAAGAATCTCCGTCCTTTCTCTCAAACTTTTTTTGGCAGCCTTCAGTGAAAGCCACTAAAAGCCCTGTTCTGCCAATCACCTGGAAACTCAATGCAATATCCTGTTCCATTCATTTCCTCAAATATTTGAACTTTGATATTTTTTGCTGCAACTGTGGGAAGAGGGAAGATTTTTATTCCATGTGTGTAGGTCTGGCAAGGCATCTTCAATAAAGATGTGAAACGTGCAGCAACGATCATTATACAACAGGAATATCATTTTGAATGAATGCTGCAGCTGCTTCGCCTTCTTTTATACATACTAAGACTAAAGTTAAATTTAATACGTTTGAACATATCCAGCAGCTATGCTGAGAACAAGAATAGTTTTTGTATGGAATTAAAACCTCCTTTTTCTCCAAGACCAACTGCAGACTTCATGACACATCCCCCAAACTGTTCCTCTCTATGACTGCCACTCCTTTTGCACTAATTTGCTCAGACAATTTAAGTAAACAATGAAACAGTGTCAACAACAGTATACTTGAGTGTTTATTTCCACTACTTTCAGAATAGTTGCTAAAAATACATACAGTTTTTGATTGCTAAACTGCATAGATCACACCTCTCACTTAAGTAAAGCAATATTACGCAGTTTTATGCTTATGAAGTGTGTTCCAACAAAGAAAAAAGGCCAAAAAGACTCATAAGTTCACTTATAAAACTGACACTTTGGCACACAATCATGTATGGCTCTAATTAGAAGTTAAGAATATATGAAACTATACTTTTTTTTTATCCTTGGGAAAGGCTTCTTTAGGTCAAGTATAGTATTAATTTCTATCCAGAGCTGCCAAGATAACTATTAATCCTTAAACTATGAAGGCATACGTAGATGTCATTTTGGCATTTAATCATTATTCTCTTATTTCCAGACTTTTAAAAATTTTCAGTGCATATTTAGGAGGAAAAAAAAAAAAAAAAAAAAAAATCAGACTACCTGCCTGTCAGACAACTGTGTCATTACAACTACTGTGGAATCTATAAGTATGGCTCTCTCCCAAAATACTCTTTCTAAACAAAAACTTTCATCATAAAAATCAGCTCCTCTTTACTTACCTGCCATTTTGTTTTTGAAATATATTAATCTAACTGTCTCCAAACCTAAAAGGTTGAGTGATCCTTCTGTATTCAAGGGTCGTACCTGAAGCAAGGAAAATCAGCTTTTTAGTAACTCATATTTATATAGCACATCTTCTAAAAGCTCCAAGGAGCAATATAAACTTCATAAATGCAGTACTGTTATAAAATCAACCAGACAGTAGAACAGTGTAACTGGCCAGAGTAAAGTTTGCTTCAAAGAAGAAAGAGAGGCTGGAGGAAGCAGTGTCTTCCTCTCTCATGACACATGCACGCTCTCAGAATTAAGGGTTGTGAGTCATTAAATCCTCAAAGCTGAGGTAACGGCAATTTTAGATTTTCAACTCCTGTTTGGAGATCTAGAACACAGACAGCTGCCTAAAATTCCCTTTAAAGACACAGGCTTAACACCATTCCTACCAGCATTTATATAAATATTTCCATAAGAAGCCTACTTCATATAACAGTATAGTTCTTATCTAAGACGTGCACAGATCACTAAGCTGTGCCTTTGGTTTGTGTTAGTATCATGTCACATTACACTTTTTGACTTGTTAAGACTATATATAGATTGCTAAAACCTACTAATATTTGTGACCTATAGCTTCATAAGGAAACAACCATTCTGCTCTCCAATTTGTTAGAAACAACCCTTTCTCTCCCCAGCTTTAAATAGAGAATGATTCAGTTGGAAGGGACCTACAAAGATCAAGTCCAACTGCCTGACTACTTCAGTCAGAGCTTATTACCAAGGATATTATTCAAATGCCTCTCCAACATGGATAGGTTGGGGCATCAACTACCGTGGCTGTGAAGCCTGCTGCAGCTGTTAAGACCTCCTAAATATCAACGTAGTGCTAAGTTTTCAAAAACTGCTTCCATTTATTAAATGATCCAAACCTGACAGAATTCTGGCTGCAATATTTCTTTTAATTCAATTATGTTTAAAACAAGCAGTTTTAATGACAACCTCTGATGTCCTTAAGAACAGCACCGTATGACCACAACAAAGAAATATCAAAGTGTAGCCATATTCTTTAACTGATATCAAAACAGCAAGTTACCTTTTTGAGAGGAATAGTCTGAATCCACTCCATGGAGTTCACGTCAAAGATATCAATTGCATTTTCACTATACACAGAGAGGTATGGTGCATTGTAACCTGAGACGGAATGATACATTATCATGCACTTTTAGGCAGGGCTGGTGATACACAACTTCTCAGAATCTGACCGTACTACTACTACTAAGAAACACACAAAACAAAACAATCCAACAACAACCTTGGCTTAAAAAACATGTTGTAACTAAAAAAAAGATCATGAAATTTATTCTAAAAACAAACCAGCACCAACAAAAAAACCTAAAACCTTCAGATGATTTTTCTTTTAACTTTGCAAAACCAAACCATTTTTACTACACGAAGTTCCAATTTACAATGCCAAACACTGATGTGGTTCAATGTTTTTTTCCTCTAAAAATTCTATTTTTAAGAGTTTTTAGTACATGATGTGTATTTAATTTATTGTTATTTAATAACCATCACTTGTTGTTTGAATGAGTTTGGTCTCTGGACTACATTCTAAGTGAACATCAGTTGGAACTAAGCACCATGACATAGTGCTCATATTTCCTTCTAGCTCTAATTCTCTTTTTGTGTTTTCCAGACTGTAAAGAGAATTCTATGCTACTCATCTGGCACATGTCCCCAGCATGAAATTTGTTCCACTGGGACCACTAAAGAGAATTCAGTATTTCCATGTCGCCAAAAAGACTGCCATGGTCTGCCAAGAATAACAAAAGCATCAATTTTTTGTTTAAATGTAACAGCTTTGCTATAAAATACACCTCTATTTTCAGTTGGAACAAAATCAAATTGCTGTGTTTAAGGGCAATGAAAGAAATTCCACAAGTGTTAATGACACAGACATGTCATACATGTGAAAATATGTTTTTTAACTTTCATTTTGATTCATTCACTATTTGAGTATTGATAGTGTAATAATCATGCTCTTGCTTGAAAAACAGAAGTGACACGCAGCCTGTAAAAATGGATCCTTTCACATTCAGAAGGGTCTTCACTCAGACCAGGAGAAACATTAATCTCCCCCTGCAGCACGCAGTGCTGCCACAGTGAAGTAAGAAGGCAGGCTCTTAAAAATCAGCCTAAGGCTGTGCTCATTTGCAAACAATCTAAGGACAAATTTGGCTACTCTTCAAGAACACTTAGAAACACAACAAAAAGAGGAAGCTAGGCATTGCACTTTTTCCTGTCACAAATATAAAGCTCCAAATTTTTTAAAAAAGCATAATAAATGCTTAACATGTGTCTTATTGGGAATTGAAATTTTGAAAAACATTTTATTTTTTTTTCTTAAGGTTAGGAAATACATTTTCTACATTGCCTGTGAGACGTATTTTGGAGAGGAAGAGGAGGAAGAGGGAGTAAAAAATTAAAAGCTGAATTAAAAAAAAAAAAAAGGTGAGGAAAGAGAAAATATGAACAAGAAACAAGTTGAGAGAATGAAGGAGGAACATAAAAGAAAAAAAAAACACAATAAGCAAGACTCAGCACCATTAAGTGAAAGACAAGTTAAACTACCAGATCCTGATGACATCAAGAAAGTCTGGATCACAAAGCTGAGACAAAGTTCAATCAAATTTCAAGGCTTTAAACAACAACAGTCTAGTTTCAGTAGTAGTGAATACAAAAAGATCCCAAATAGCCCCTCTAGGACCTAAGGCTTTCAGCTGTTCTAGAGTACAGGCCATGAGTTCAGAAATCAGACATCGGGCAACTTACTTCAAAATCTAGACCTTTGATTTCTTTTTATGCTTGCTACAACAGCATATGTATGCTACAGAGCTTGCAAAGCTAGTGCAAATGAGATCAGATTTAAACCCTCTGACGAGATTTAAAGCTGCTGACACAGAAGCTGAGTCTTCATTTAGCAGTTGGGCAACTTTCCTTGTATTTCACTTTCTATGAATATTAATAATAGAAGTAGGGATCGCTTCAATGTATAATAGCAAATTAAAGTGACACACACAGTAACTTACAGCAAGATGATGGAGTTGCAGGCCACATCAATTCTTGTTGTCTCGATCTTCGGCCCTGGCAGTCAACGTAAACCCCTACGCTGCTAAAACACAGCAGGTATTCTTTATTTGAGATTTCGACTGCACAGATGGCATCAGTTGGCTGCTGTGAGATAAACGATAGTGTGTGGTCATCTGGATGGAGCAGACTGTATGGGCTGCCTTCTCCATGAAGGGGATGTTTTAAGAAACCTGACTGATAGCCCACACAAAGTCGCTCACTGAAGATCGACATCCACTGGACGTTCCCCTGGACTTGGATCTCCTTGATCTTTTTGTGACGTGTCTTACTCTGATTTAGTTCATAACAGAGGACCTGCCTTTTCATAGCTACACACAGGCATGTGAGGGCTCCATGGCGCACGTGTCCAGAAACTATTGACTGGCAGCCCTTTGTTTCTGCCAGCTTATAAAACTCAGTCTCCCTTCCATCCAGAGCTGTCATAGGGAAAAGTCGCACGTGACGGTTTCGTCCTGAGATTACTGCAATGAGCTGTTCACTTGGGATAAGCTCAATCTGATGAACCTTCTTGTTATCACCAACACGGATTATCTCTAAAATAAAACCAAACAGAAACACCAAAATTCAAGTATATCATAGTGAAATGTGAACTGATTGAAAACTTTGTTGGGTAAGCACAAAAAATTCCCTTTATTACTCCTTCGCTTTATTTAAATATACAAGAATAAAAACTTGTATTTTAATGATACCAAAACTGATAATGGCTGGATAAACTTTGACTCTCATCAGAAAAAGGGAGAAGCAGGTGCTTCAATAACAACTGAAGTGTTATTAAGAATTCATTTTAAAAATAGTCATGTCTCTACACTACTGAATGTGAGGTTTAATTTCCAGCACTAAGGAGGAGGTTACAGTGAAGACCAAGCCAGCCTCCTTACTGAAGTACACAGCAGGAGAAGAGAAGGCAAAAGTCATAGATACCCAAAACTGAAAGCACACAGAACAGCTTCTTGATCATCTGCTCTCGCATGGGGCTGCCCAGCTGGTAATACAGTAAAACCAAGTAAAATGAAACTGGGGGATACTGAAAGAGAAAAAACCTTATGAAGTCACTTTCTGATTATTAAGGGAAATTATCATCAATTTCCAGTCTCTTACCATCTTTGGTGACATGCACAACAAATAACCCTTCTTCATTCCCCAGTGCTATTCTTTCATGATCTATGACATTAATTAAAGAAAGAAAGAAAGAAAATAGGTTATTTTTGTTTCAAAATACTTTTTCAACAAGTGTGATAATTCTGATTAACAGTTTTTTAATATCTTGAAATAAATAAAAAGCCTTAACCAACACAGCCTCTTTTCCCAGGTAACTAGTGAAAGAACAAGAGGGAATGGCCGCTAGTTGCACCAAGGAAGATTCAGTTTGGATATCTGGAAGGACTACTTCTCAGAAAGAATGCTTGGTCAGGCATTGGAACAGATTGCTCAGGGAAGTGGTGGAGTCACTTTCCCTGGAGGTGTTTAAGGAAAGGGCAGATGTAGTACTTCGAGCTGTGGTTTAGAGGGCGATACTGGTGGTAGGTGGACGGCTGGACTAGATGATCTTAGAGGTCTTTTTCAGCCTTAATGATTCTATGATCTACCAAAACCAAACAAAACATTGGAAACCACCCAGGCTTTCAAATTTCTAAAAAGAAGCCCACATTTTCCCATTTCTCCTGTTAGTAGAAATAGCACAAGAAACATTTTTAACAAATCACTCAGACTATTTAGGTATACTACTGACGCTGAAATAATTAAAACATCAAATTCAAATAATCTGAGTTCAACACATTTTGTGTGGTTACATTTAAAATTAGTAAGCTCCTTCTCAACTCTCCAGTTTTCTCTCAGAAGCAGACTATTGCAAAATCAGTGATTTACACTGATTTTATGGTTCTAATTTTGCCCAATGAAGGAGTCATCTTTACAGAATAACAAAACAGTAATATCCAACTGTTAGCCAATATAGCTCATAATTATGAATGTGTGTGTATGGGGGAATGTTATTACTGAGCCAGATTTCTTATTTATTTCATACCTATGATTGCTGCTGACTGCGTTGTTTTGATGAGGGGTAAGGTGCTGTCATAAGCTTCTTTGGGAACATAGACTGAGCGGTCTTTGAGTTTGTTCTTCTTCAAGATCCTATGCAATTCATTCAGCACTCCTACCCACTTGCTTTTTTCATTCTCACCGTCTGTTAGAATCAGGATTGAACACTTATTACTGGTTGCAGAGAGTTGGGAAGCTGTGACCTGAAAAAATTTTAAATATATATTTTAAATCTTAAGCAATAAAATATTTCATCCTGATCATTTATACAAGGATATCAAATGTATTTAGATGCTCCTTCAATTAGCTGTCTGAGCTAAGAATGCAAAAAATGTAGCCTTACTTAATAGAAAAACTCTATCACAGAAAAAGCTAATGTGAATAACTCAGCAAAATCTGAAAACTTTGTTTATTTTCTTAAATGCATTTATACTCATTCTGTAATAAGGAAACACTCACTCTGAATCAGACAGACATCTGTTCATCTCAGTAATTTTATAATGTAAAACATTTCTTACAAAGCTTTCCATATTTGTTAAATGACAATAGTTTTCACTGTTAATTGATGCAATAAGAATGGTATATACATAAGAATGACTTATGAAATTTTTAATGTACTTGGTACAACTGTAACAGATAAAAGCTACTTTGGGATATTTATCTCCTCTCAGCATGCAGAGCAGTGAACAGTCTGAACACAGGAAAGTCAAGGAGTGGAATACAATGGTACAGTAAAGAAATGATACAGGAATTAATTAGACACCAAAGATTTTTCACTGAGGTCAACTCTTCAATTAAATATCCAGAACAGTAATAGAAAAAGTCAATGATGGCAAAATCCTCTGATACCATGTAAATGACAGATTTTTATGAATATGTTATGTTGGATTTCTGTGATAACTACCTGATGAGGTAGTTATGAGATCCAGTGCAAGAATTAATATATAATAAAGGTTTCAGGAATAATTCAACAAATCAAACCAAGAAGCAGAAAGCAACTCTGAGAAATGAAAATGTAGAAAATCACGAACAAAAGAATTCCAAATGATGAACAGAAAGCTTGTAAGACATAGGTCTTAATGAGAAGATTAGAAAAAAAATAAAACTGTCTAAAATGGAGATGGGTCTTAGTCTAAATGTATTTGCTATGTTACCATGAAAAAATGTATGATATGTATGGATATAAGTACAGAGCTTTATGCATTGCTGCAGCCATGAATTACTGAAAAATTTAAACATTAGTAAGCACTCTGTGAATGCACATCACACATCCCAGAGTGAAATCTTCTCCTTCTGCATTAATAAGTTCAAGACATACATACTTACCCTAAAGATACAGGGGATATCTTTTCGATTTGCATGGATGACATCCGAAGCCAAGACAGAACTCACTGAGAATTCTTCATCCCTTGTGGAGACCATAAACATTATTGCAAAAGAGTTAAACAGAGTCAAATCTGTATAGCTGTTGTTGTGTGTTTTTTTTAAACTTAATTTCCATAGTACCGATTACCTTGATTTGCTAAGGGCACAAGAAGATAGTACTGAGATCTAACTTTTAAAGTCATTGCAACTTTATCTGCAGATTAATTATCTGCAGATGAAACTCAGAAATGCATAGCTACGTAACTAATTCCTGGTATGTGCCAAGAGAAAAAAATCTACTCCAGATACTTGTTTTTGTGTCTGTTTAAATTTAAAACTTTTCAAAAACTTTTCAAACTATAAAGAAGATACTGAAGTAAGAACATCCTTCCAAGTATTTCATAAAAAATCTAAACACTCTAGAAGTTTTAATGTATTCAATTATAGCTTACATGTCCTCAATCCTCAGTGACATCAGCAGTACTTCAATAATGCTGAAGATGAACAAGATACAAATCCTTCTGCATAAAAAGTTATACTAATTTTAACCACAAAGATCAATCTATCTTCAAAAACTCTATCCAACCTGAAAAGAATATAATTATCTTCTTTACTCATTCCAGATCTTCTACACAGCTCAGGAGATGAAATGTAGTACATGAAGTAGTAATGAAGACTGAATTGCCACCCCCCACTCCCACGGCAAGCTCCCACTGAGCACCAAAAAGCTTACCTCATGTCTATGACCTGACTCACTACCACACTTGGCTGGGATGCTTTTCCTTCTGCTATATCATACAGGAAGAGTTTAAAATCACAGATTACTGCCAGCGCTCTCTGCCAACCTTTCTTTACACCAGCTGGTTTTGGTACCTATAGCAAAATAAAATCTGATCACCTCTCTGTAACTTTGTGTGCAAAGATCAAACTTACAGTACAAAAATCACAGGCTCATAGGTTGGAAGGGACCTTAAAAACCATCGATGTCCAAGCCCCTCCTGTGGGCAGGGTTGTCGACTTCTAGAATAGCTTGTTCAGGCCCCGTCCAACCCAGCCTTAAATGCCTCCTCAGAAATTGCAGTTTAATTCCCACTCCAGAAAGCAAAAAATTTAAACTAAGCGTCCCAATTGCAGCCACCTGATACTTACTCGGACATGTCCTTCGTAAGCTGTTCCTATACCTTTCTGAGGATCTATTCCCAAAGGGCCCTTAGTCTGTTCAGGAGGGATTGGACATACTGCAGGGGCCTTGTCTGCACAGGTCACATGGCAGGAGAATCCACACACTTGTGAGGAGGAAAAGGAACAAATGGATTTAATGGTTATTTCATGCAATGTAAAAGCTATGATAATGATGACAACATAACGCTTTTTTTTTTTTTGTGAACAACCAAATATTTGTACTGAACTTTGCTACACTGAGACAGAAATGTAAGTTCGTGCACATGGTCTGATATGGTCTGAATTCAGAGCTGTACAGTTTCAGAGCTGTATGGCTATAGTCTGGTTTCATTCAAGTAAGAAAAATTAGAAGCTCATATTGAAATAATTTTCCTATTATTTTTTTTTCAGGCCCATTTCTACTAGTAAACAAAAAGCTGGCAACTCTACTAAGTGATGTATGTTCTTCTGTGAATATACAAACCTAGAATAAATCAGTCCTAGAAAGAAACAAAACTGGTACTAAATGGAAAAACTGCTTTACACAATGACCTCACAAAAGCAAGGCTTCTGTCAGCACACTTAACCACTGACTGTGGCCCCTTATTGCTATTTTAAATAAACTCAACTGAACTCTTCTGCCACCAACCAGAATTAGTATTTTACCAGATTTACATGAGATATTCAAAGTGTTTCACTTCCACTATTAGAAGGTGGCAGCATGTGTATATATTCTGTTATTCAAAATGTGAATAGAAGACACCTACACTTTCACACCACAACATTCATTGAACAATCTGCATCTGTATGAATTTTGGTTCCCATTTCCTGCCTTACTTACCTTCACAAGTGCAGCCCTGTCTTATTAAACCAACCATCAGAGATGTGCATTGATTGCATTTTGTTGGGGTATTAAATGATTTCACTACAAACTGGTGGGCTTTAGGCTGTGAAACAAACAGAAAAAGATGTTAGTACCTGCAGTGCTTCTGAAGAACAGTTATTTTTTCACAGACATGAGGGTGTTTGCTGAAGTGAAATCTAAGCTCATAGCGCAGGCTGCAAATGCCACTTATCGAGGCTTGTTACTAATAACTTACCATTCTCTGCAAACAAACCCATTGAAAACAGACATTCTGGACAAGGTATGTAGTGGTCCCAAATAAGAGAATTGTGCAGGTTACCTTAATAGGGAGGTATTCTAAAATTTTATTCACTTTCCTGTTTGTCACACCATGTATCACAGATAAGGGCTCCAACTTCATACTTAATAACAGTTATACTGTTAGAATGGAAGCTTTCTGCCCACAGATGGCTTTCTTATTTTGAAACTTGCAGGGAAACAGCACTTAGTCTTAAAAACCAATGCAATAAAAGTAAGAAGATTCTACAGGTAATATAATAAATAAGAAAAACAATCATTGCTAACGGTTTAAGCAAAACATTTGCAAAAATAAAATGATGTGCACAGTTAAGTCTGTTTTGCATGATTCCATGTGCGCACACACAATAATTTTAATCACTCTATTATAAAGACGTTGTCAATGGGCCAACTGCAAATTAATTTCAACAACTGACATAAAAATCAGCATTTATGCAGGCAAAAGCCAGAAAACAGAAAAAATTAAATTCCTTCTCCCAGTGCTGCAGTGCTGACTGTACTGCTCACTCTATATTGCTTACCAAAAAATTCCCCCAAGTCTGTGGTTTCATTTTAGGCTCAGTCTTTGCCTCTTTGCAATATAATTTTCTAAGGCCAATCTTTAGGCCAATCTGAGACTGTCCCATAGTGACATGGGTTTTACTGTATGCAGAGGATAGAAGCAGATTAGTCACATAGATGCTGGAAAACAGTCTTCCTAGGAAACCTTTTTCCTTTCATATTCTCGTTCATTTATATCTTTCTAAAGTTCAAACTTGTAACGGAATATATTAGCATATTGATAATTAATATCAATGTGTAATATAATCAAATATAATAATCAAATGGCTGTGTGTTGTTATGCTGGAATGCCTACTATAACTTGTCAACACCACATAACATAAGAATGTAAGAATCGTGCTGTTAAATTTTAGAAAGCAATCAGCTTCTGCACTAAGAGAGCTCTCTTGAGACTCCTGAAGCTGTGGCCCAGGGGTGATATTTTTTCCCTTACAATACAAAACTCACGGACACATGACTGAATACCTTTGGTGCAGAGAGTCCCGATCCAATATATGCTGTCCGCATGGTTGGTGTGTGAATTGATCGAGGAGGGTGATCCGTAACCTGAATTAGTCCCCAAAAGATCAAAATGACATCAAATACACACTATCAAAGACTGCTTGAACAAAATAAAAAGACTACAGTCTGCCATCCGTTCCATCCCCAAATACACAAGCCAAGAAACCAAACTGACTAACAAAGCACGGGACACAGGAATACAAATCTTATTTGTCATTAAAATGTGTAATTTTCATTTCTTAAATGTCTAAAATTATTTTGCATAATCCCCATTTGATTATTTTCTAACACAAAATAATCAGCAAATTTAATATTTTAAGAGGGAAAGGGGATACTTTACAGTTGCAAAGACTTGCCAATATTTTGTATTGGTAAGACTTTTGGCAAGGCTCCATAAGATGCTCTTATGAAGTGCAATATGACATTAACTTTGCACAAATATTTTTAAAGTATTCATAGCTAAGAATACATTATGAAGAGAGATTGTATCTTGTAATTGATGTTACAGTCCCCATCCTCAATCAACCAACCAGATGTAAAAGGTCCTGTAAATACAGCTCACTGCTGTGCAGCAGAAAGCTGTTTATAAAGTCCTAAACAGTCTCTGCAGAATGATGAGTTTAGTTCTAAACAAAAAGACTTGCTAGAGCAATTTTTATATGAGTACTCCTTAAACAACAACAAAAAAGTCAACTCCCAGTACCTCAATTGGTTCAATTTCACTAGCTGTAGAAGGAGATCTCGATCTTGAATGAAGGTGAGACTTGCTATCTTCATCCCGTGACGGCGTGTTGGATAACGTGAAGTTCTCAACTGAATCAATCTAGGAGAATAATTCCAGAGGGGAAAAAAAAAAAGAAAAAAAAAAAATCAAAGGCATCACTAAAACGGAATTCTCAACTCTTACCAAAATAAGGTAAGAAAGCAGTAGAATTCCTAAGAGAGAACTGAGAGAGAAAAATTCAGTTTTAAGCAACTTCTTAATCAAGCTACAAAATTACAACAAAAATTACTAACTATGAATATGTTATGGCTTCAGATGAAAGGTGAACACATGCATAAGAACTGCTAGCTCAAGGGCCTGATAAATACTCAAGGAGATTTGTAATTCAGCATTTTTAAATAATATTTCCTAATTGCAACTCTTTTTTGTCCATCAGTAAGGGAGATCTGTTAGGAGTGAATTCCCATATAGCCTATGAAAATCACTGCAACCGTATTTAGAATAAAATTAGGAGAAAAAGTAGAGCAAATAATGCATTTCTTAAATCAGTGCTGCACGGAGAATTGAGGGTTTTTGTACTCCATCTGAACTACAACAAAAAAAGGAAAATAATTTCATTAGGAATATTTATTAGGAAAGTTTCTTCAGCAGGCTGTTTTCCTAAACTTTGATATACAATGAAACTAAGCCAAACACAGAATTATACTGACAGCGTAGTATGCGTGTTCCTCTGAAAGTAATGCCTCTTATTTATTTCCATGGAAGCCACAACAGATACAAAGAGCACAACGCTGTTTGATAGAGCAAATGCTCAGCTACAAAAGACTCTTTTTCAGCAGTCAGCACCATCAGCTCTGCATTTTCACCAGCAATGGACAAGACTCTGCATGCCGTGCTTGTAAAAATCCGCATTGGCAGAGGTGACATCTACTGTCACTGCCACCACCTCCCACAGCCTCACCATGCTCACATCCATTGTTGGGTCTCCATGAACATTCAGCAAGCACTGATGAATGTCAATGGGTGCCATTTTTTTCTGCATGATGGAATTCAAGGACACCCCTCTGCTCCATGCACACTTCCATGTCAGATGTTGATTTGTCACACTGCCCCTTTGCTGCCATCTGTTGCGCAGCAACAAAATGTAATGGAATATTGGTGGGAAGGTTCAACCTCTGCTGCCATCCCACCAACATCTGCCTCTGATGTGGTGGGCCAACACAATAAAATAGGAGACATTACTTTTGGAACAGCCCTCATATGAACATGGTTTGATGTCCTATAAAACAAGTCATCTTTAAGAGAATGCAAAATTCTTCATTGAAAATATGACATCTGCACATCAAAGTTTTCTTTGTTAATTTCAATTTTAAAATTAAAGTGAAATGAGGATGTTTCTCTCCTACTAATAAAACTAAAAGCTGGAGGCCTACAGATGGCTCCACTACCTGTTGGACTTTTCAGGAGCAACATTATCAACCGTTAATCACTGCTAAGGATTTGGCTACCTTGCACACAAAATAAAATCTGCAGCAACTTTTACAGATATATTTGAATATTCCAATTTTTTTTTTCCCTCATTTGTCACTGACATCACAATAGGAATTCCAAAAACTTTACTGCTTTGTGTGTATAAAACATAATGCCAAGCCAATCTTATACATGCATATACTGTCCTCAAGAAATTTAGTCATGGTAGTGAACAGGTGTAGATGAAGCTCTCTTGTTGTTTGGTTGTTTTTGGTTGTTTTTTTTTTTGTTTGTTTGTTTATTTTTAATTGTAGTGAGTTAAGTTTAATGGCTTCTTTGTCATAGCCTTCAAAAAAAAAAAAAAAGGCTCATCCGTTTAATCAACATAGGAATACTAAGATGCATCTTCTTTCTGTAGAGAGAACAGACTTTCTCACCATGCATTACACCTGTTTTCCACACACAGATCATGTATTTCAAGCACTGAGGCAAAAAATAGCAGTAAAGCAAACATTCCAAACTCAGATTTATCAGAAGCAAATTATAATTGGAAGCTTCACCCAGTATCAGAAGCCCCTAGACACACTGAGTTGTTTTAAGTACTTTAAACTTTTTTTTTTTTTTTAATAAATAAAGCCTAAAGATGTGATAACGTGACATGTACTTGAAGACTGTTTAACCTCAAAAAATCTAGCTACTTCTTAACATCCTTATTTAAAAAATAAACCCAATGAGTAACCACGGGAAAATTTTTCATAGCAAGAAACAGACATTCCTTGTCTTCTGTAAGTTAAGTCCAGAGATCATATCTATAATTGCTAAACATTTCCACATACTCAGAAGGTTCTCCCTTCAAAGTAGAATCTGCATACCAAACAATTTTCATGGTGTCTGTTAAAAACTTCAGTACCAGGATAATATAAATGATGGAACTGTTCTGGAATGTCCTACAAAGCCTTTGCGGTGCAAAATCAACTGCTGAACTAGTTACAAATCTATTTTTACTTTGCTTATGAACATAAAAAGCCCACAAAACAGACAGAACCTGATCTACCATTACTGAGTTTGAAGGGAATTTAACCACCAACTTCACTGTACAAACAGAGCCCTAAGCTGTATTGCTGCAGTAGTCTTCAGGTTCCTTACTTCAAAGAGAAGAAAGTTATAGAAGCAACCAAACTCAACTTAAGTGGCTCATATTAACATCACTAAAATTAATTTTAAACCAAGTCATTAGATTAGGAAAACAACATTTCAGATAAAATTGTAATAGTCTTCTTGGCTTCCACCACTCTGTGTTTGGTGGTCTACACAATGTCACCTGTGAAGGCCTGAGCCAAAGTTGGCCACTTGGGCAAACACATCTGGACTGGAACCACAGTAGGCAAAAGCAAGCAGTTACTGTAAGCTTGCCCTGAATACAGAGATGTGTGCTTTGATTTACATATGTAAGGTAACTATTGGAGCTGTGGGTATCACAGTTTATTGAAAATTCATTATAAATGCTGTCTATAATTTCCTGTTCCTATTATCTTCTATACATAAAAGAATCAAGAGAAGCAACGTGAGTTCAAAACATGCACAGCATACCTAGTACCAAAGTAGTCTGACAAAGCATGGATAACACCATGTTTTGAATTCCACTTTGTTTTTTGAAACATCATAGCTTAACAGACTATAACACACAATTCTGTTTTCCTTGTATGAATTTGTCCTGTCTTCTTCAACACTCAATTTCCTTCTTCCTATTTATCTCTGTGCTATTTTCAATCACTTGCTATGATAGGCCTCCTGAATGCCAAAATTTATCTTCTGTAAGAAATTCCTATAATCCTACACACACCCTCTTCAAACAGGTCCTCATTTGGCATATTCTCATCCTGCTTATTTGACATCTCTCATCCTGCAGCAACCTGAACAGCTCACACAATGAACTTCCACATTGAGATGAAAAAGTAGACAAAGCTACAATGATATTTCACTCATGGAAGTATTACCAAATAAAATCATCCAAAAGCTTTTAGTCCAGGGCTGTAAAACAACAAAAAGCACAGCAGGAGCAGCAGCAGCAGCAACGAGCAGCAGCAGCACAAGACATGCAGACGATCCATACATTAAACGAAGGCATGTACATGACAGGCAAAAATAAAGGGCCACATAGAGTAAGACAGCCTCTTACACGTCTGCCTTTGTTAGCTGGAATACAGGAAGGAGAGCGCTTTAACAAAGAAAGGAGGAGAATATGTTACAAAACCAAACAGTGACACGGAAATCAGCTCAGTATTCATTGCTCTATGTTTGCAGATGTAGTTTTCAGACACACACAGACATATTCATTTTTAAAAGTATTTTCAAAACAGTATGCTGGGGCAACAAGAGGAAAGAAACATTACAAAAAGGAAAAGTAATTTTAAAGTTTGCATCTTTACACAGGACAGTAACAGTGAAACTGTAGGCTACGTTACACCAAAGAAGCACAATTTGCAGTCAGTATATCTCTGTGTTCTGAACAAGATGAATAAGGCAATCCCTTGGAGGTGCAATATATCCAATTTAAAGTATCATTAAGGATTATTCTAAACTTAATTATGAATGTGCAGGTACAGTAAGAGCACTCTACTGGACTATTTAAAAATGAAAATTGAGAACATGACTTATTCTGCTGTTATTTACAAAGCTAAGATTTGTTTAGTTTAACCAAAACCCACAGGAAGATTTAAGAAAGCTATTTTTAATTCATAATGTGTTACAACAGGAAAAAAATATAATCTTTTACAGCAAGTGAAAAATTTACCCATTGTCAAGGGTAAATGGAATTCCATTTTACTGTTACTAAATAATCACTGACTCAACTTTAAACAGAACAACTTGATTGCTTCCATTACCTGGTGAGATACACAAAATCACCTTTATAAAAAATAAAACAAGCTCAAAACCCACTGCTCAGCAGTGCCATTATCAGACACTGCCAGGGAACACAGCAGACTTCAGACCTACATGACACTACCAACAGCCTGCGATACACAAGGCAACAAAGGTGAAGATTTAGAAGAAAGTACAGCAGAGTGACTGCCCTCCCACCAAAATCTGAAACCACAGACAGCAAAACCTATTCCTACTCCTCTTCACACTCTCCCATGCACATTGCAGAAACAAGGATCATTTCTGGACACATTAGCTTCCGCAACCATGAAGATTTCAGCACTACTTCTGTAGGTCTGACCAAGTACTGACGATTTAAGGAGGAACAGCTGGAAGCAGCAGTGACTGTTACTCAGAATACTGAGCTACTCGTTTTCTTGCTCGGCAGCTGCAGGCTACAGACAGTGAGATATCTATTTTTTAATTCTCTCTAGAGGAAACACACAGCTATTGTTTTCCTCACTGACACAATTAGCATTTACTGCAGTCATTCTCAGCGGATAAACAACTACTGGATGGCAGACACAGAATACGTTACCCACCTAATGGATATCAAATATAACCAGCAAGTCAAAATCAGCACTGCTTACAACCTGTCATTTTGTAATGAAGCACAGGCGGTGGAGAAATATTACAGGCCATTGTTAATATTTACTTTGGGATCCTGAAAACAGAGGAGGCTTTCCTGAAAACCATCCCATATTGAGTCTAACCTAAGGGCTTGTAATACTTCCCTGGACTTAATTTAAGGAAGCCATCCACTTCTCAGGTATGACTGAGCATAGGTTTAGCTCTCCTTGAGATGCTCCAGGAAACACTGCCATTCAAGGTAACTACTGTCAAAAAGAGACACCAAAAAGGGAATGGAGGTCATATCCAGCAAATACGCTGCTTTTCTTTTCTTTCATTCTGGGGGGAGAGGAAGAGAGTCCTGAAGAGTGATGCAGACAGAGAGAGGAGGAGCCCCTCATTTTAAGTTCAGCTAAATATATGGATATTTAACCTACTTAATTAGCTGAAACATACAAACCATTCATCATGACAATTGAAGCTAGGTATTAAGAACATAACAACACCACTTTCAACTACTAATAAGGTCAACAGACATTTCTCTTTCAAAAAAGAAAAGTAACTCAACAGGCATTGTACTTGTCTGCAAAGCACTTTTCTCATCTTTGAACAGTCAACTCTCTAGGTCTGGAGTTTTAGCAGATTTGTGAGAAAGCATTCTGCCTCTCCGTTAGCGAGGTTAGCCCCTCACCACTGCAATCCAGAAATGTACTCCTGCCCAAAGCAATTGAGAAAAAAACAGCTGTTGGACTCAGCTTGAAGATACAGCACAGGAAGTTTGATTTGGTATGTATTACGTCATCCAGGTGCAACATTACACACATTAATACCTGGAGTTACTCCAAAAACAAAACCTGGGAACCAAACAAGACTTCATCTGAGTGTGAGCTCCAATGCCTTCATCAGTCATTGTAGGAGAGTAATAGATACTTCTTTTAGAAGTACCTTTGTATGAAAGAGCCTGCTGACACAAACTAAGTGCTCCTAATGCTAGGCAACATACAGAACACTTCCTTAATCCAGTAAAGGACATAAAAATTCATTTATTATACATTTTACAAGACAGGAAACTATACCTGTAATATTTTTTGGTGCAATAAAATTTCAAGAAGTAAAACAAGATTTTCTATATTCTATACAAAACGAGGACAAAGATCATCTACTTCTGCTCTGCAGAATGTACATTCACAATTTGTCTATGGTACATAATTTACAGAAAAAAATATCTTGACAAAAAGTGTTCTTTCAGAATTGGTAAAAGGAAATGCAATCAGTAGAATAGATCTGTATACAAAACTTTCTTTGTTACATCATTCACAACAAATATTTCTAGAATAAAATAAATTATACTGCATTTTAATGCCAATATGATTATTGTACTTTAAATGCTACATGTTTTTGTATGTGTATATCACATACCTGCAAAAAAAACACACAGATGTACACACACAGTATACAAAGAATGGTAATGAGTGGTTTTCTACAAATGATGTAGAGTATTTAAAGCCTCTGAGCATTTACAATTATGTGCTTATTATTTCAGCCTGGAAGAAATATAATGCAGTCAATTTTCAGCTTGTAATTTAATTTCCTTAGCAAGCAGCTAATCAGGACAAATTTTTTAAACACTCTTGTGATTAAAAATTAGCAGCTCAAAAGGCAGTAAAAAGAAATCAATCAAGAAGGTCACTTCACAGCCGAAATAAAGATTACTTCCTGCAATACAGGCTTAAAAGCAAACATTTCCATTGAAGTGACCAGAAGAGTTTTGGAAACAACTGACAGATGGAGTGACACGAACCAATAGAACTGAGTGATAGAAATATGCCAGTAATTCTAGAATCATTTTCTAAAGTAAAGGCCCCAAAGCAGCTTCACCCCATTAGAAACAACCTTCTCCAATATAGAATTATTCACATAAAGAAAACCATTTAATTCTATCTATATGAACAGGTGTAAGTATTACAGGTATAGTTCTCCACTGCACTTGGAGCACTTTATTTGACTGCATTATTGTTCAAATACTCCAAATCAATCAACTGATCTCTGTGATTGAGGGATTTACTGGTTTGAAAGCCAAAGACTTACGTCATCCATAAAATCAATCAATGAGGATGAAGAAGAGGAAAAGGAGTCCTATTTTAATGAAATCAGCAGTAAAGAAAAAAACAAAGGAAGGGAGAGAGACAGAAAAAGAGACGGATGAAGAAAACTTCAGTATAAATAAAAATACAAAAGTAAACAACTATAAATGACAAATGCCAAAACGTTACCCAAGTTTTCATTAATTGCCTTTCATAGACAATTAATAATCAACACATAAAATCAAATGTTTTTCTTGCATTGACTCAATAAAACAAGATTCCTACACTCTAAGAGGAATTTTATTTTATAAGTAACTTAAAAGGGAAATAATTGAAAAAAGAAATGAAAAAAATATATTAATTATGGATCATGAGACAACAATGGAATAATGAACACACAATAAAAAGCAAGTTAATTTTGGAAGATTAATAACATCAGGGATGTCTTTTGTAGTGAAATATGATCTTGTATATATATCAGGAAAAAAACAAGCACAGATTTTACAACAAATGTGTAACTGCGAAGGTGGTGTGTTGCCCCCACTGAATTTAGTTTGACCAGTATTTCACCCTAGCTGGTTTTTTTTGTTTTTGTTTTTGTTTTTGTTTTTGTTTTTTTTTTTTAAAGAAAAACGATGCACTGTTGGCTGTTGATTAAAATAGAGGATAAGAAATGTATAGTATTGTTTCAATCTTCCACATCCATGCTTTCCACCTAAACAGGTCTCTATTCTAACAGTGACAAAGGAATTAAACAGATTTATTTTTTTTAGGAATATAAGTTCCGTGGAGAGGAAATGAACAGCAATTATCTGAGTTTTAGAAATCTGTGAATGAAAATGAACAAACAACAAAAACAACCTAATAAATACACAGTATCAACCACTTCACAGAATGCAATCAAGGATTATTTACATGCTTTCACGTTTAGAAAACTAGCATTCACATTACTTAGCATTATTTTGAACATGTACCAAAGTCATTTGAGCACCTCTGCTGTATGTGTTTGCTATGAAATTAGGAAAAATTCTGCATTCAGAATCTTAGGGAGAATTCACTATGATTATTAAGTGTTCAAGAGAAGACAGCCAGCATTGCAAACTATGAGCAATATTCATATACTGTTGTATACAAGTAAATATGGGATAATATCATTAAAACAGTAACAAACTCTCAGCACACATGTATTCTGCATAAAACAGCAATAGTAAAAAGTTTCATTGACTAATGGAGAGAGAACAGTTGTACACTTACTTCAAATTGATCCAGAGCAGAGGTAGGCGCATTCAAAAATGCCAAGAAAGAATTCTGTGAGTCTTGGTGCTTTACACCTAGAAAACAGCAGCAGTTTTTTAAGCTACAGAAAAATGACTTTTTTATGGAGGACCTTTGCCTTGCTGCATTCAGGATTTGGGAATCCACCTGAGCCAGCTACCTTTTTTTAAAGCAATTGTCATGTTTGGTTTGTTTTCCATAGTAAAAGATTTTTTTAATAGGTATACATCCACTAAAGCAAGCAACAAATGTTTAATTAACCTTTTCCAAGGATGCATGTGGTGTGAACTGAACACGAAAACATACTTAAATGTGCCTTCTGTGTAATACACAAGTTTCTAATGTACTTATGGCCATCTCCAACACGCACTGAATCATACAGGTTTAACTACTAATACAACAGGTGTCACCCCTGCTCTGCCTGCTTATTGGACAGTCTACTGTGACAAGATTGTAGATAAAAGCAAACAGTGTAATTCAACAAAAAGCACACAAAACATGCTGTTTGGGGAATACACAGTATTTTCAAATAATACAGTTTCTATATAAATACACTGAAATCCTAGAAAAAGACTAAAAACAATTCTCTGATTACCTACTTCTTTATAGATCATTTTTGTAATCATTTTCCCCACCCTCCTTGGTTTTGGCAATGCATTTATCAAGAGCAAAGGATGGTAGAAATCAATCAACACATACGAGAAAGTTAGTCACCACAGAATATTGACTGCAGCTGAACCCTCAACACAGTAATGAACGAAACAACTATACAGTTCTTCTTACAAAGGAGAATCAAGTCCAAAGATAATAAGGATGTTGAATTAAGGTATATTTCTATCAAAATATTTGAATAATTACAATAGAATCTTACACATTTACTTCTGGAAACATAATAATTAATGCTCCTTTTTTTTTTTTTTTTTTTTAAAGAAAAGAGTAAATGTTTATCTCCATTTCCACAAAAATAAGATAGTAAGACTAGAAAAAATACAAGATAAAACATTAATTACAAATTCTTAACAGACTGTTTCATGGAAAGTAGATTTCATAACCAGAATAACTATGGACAATATTTAAGATAGTCCAAAAATCTAAAAGTAAAAGCTAAACATGACAAAACATTAATGCCTCTGTTAAAATGCTGTCACCCGTTCCTCTCCAAACACTGAGCAGTATAATCCTGATATTAGCACTAACATCGAGATGAAAAATAAACAATTCCCTACGTGGTATTACTAATCAGCACCAGTGATTTCTGAATATTTTGTATAGGTTTATATCCTTTTTACCAGTCAACCAACACTTGGAGGCCTATTTATGGGAAATGATTGTTAACTACAATACATTATTGGCTGTCATGACAGTACGACATTTGAAATCTCTATGCAGCAACTGTTGCTAGAATTTTGAAACTCAAGTTCAGGCAGTTTCCTACAAAAAAATCTGGTAATTCAATTTGGCCTGAAAAATCACTTCTTCCCACGTAACTCATAACATACAAATATTACAGGTACTACGAGAACTGTAAAGAATCAGCCAAATCATTAACCTTACCTCAATCAATTTTTTTCATTTCAGACTTACTAAAAGTCTCTTCTCTAATGCAAAACACTTAGGCAGATGCAACAGAAATCCCAGAATATTCTCTTACAACCACAGCAAAGCAAACATGACCACACTGATCACTATATGTTTACAAAGCCAATCAATGAAGCCATTGAAGAAACCAATGAATGAACTGCACAGTGCCTCTGCAGCTGTTTTTCTTCTTATGGGCTTCAAATGTTCATAGATGAAAAATACAGTGATTAGTGCTGAAGTCTAAATACCTTTCATTCATCAAAGATAGGAAATAATCACAAAAAAATCCATACTTTCAGCAGTTTTCTGGCAGTCAAACACCATACATATGCCAAATAAAAGAAATACAACTCCAACATGGATAATATCTTACTCGTTCAAGTGTATCACCAAAGCTGTTACAAGTACATATGAGCAAATTCAACTGTGGGTACATCTCACCATGCAATAGCTGTGCTCACATTTTGTATGCCACAGTTTCTTGGTATCATATTTTAGAGATAAGACGACACTTAATTGGTAAGATGTACCCACAAATGTGAAATATGATCTTAATTAGTTGGATATCACTTGCCATACCCTTTTCTGATCTAAGTTCTTCTGTCTCCTTCTTCAGTCTTTCAATATCTGTCAACAGTTCCAAGTTCTTCTTCTCAGATTCTTGCAATTTACTTCAAAAGAACACAAACAAAAATCTTTTGTAAATATTGAGAACTAGTGTTATAAATCACTCTTTCATTGTTCATCTTCGCACGCTATGTGGACTACTGCTCAGTTAAAAATCAATGCCCAGCAAGCTGCACGATCTCATCAAATGCAAGAATGAACTCAGAAACCAGTTTGGATCTCTTTAGTAAGGTGTCTTAAAGAAACAGAACAATCATTAATTGCCCTCGTTTAACCATTAGGTAGTCTCACATCTCTAATTTATGAGTAATTGTATCAGCCTCTATCCTGTGGATAAAAAAAAACCAAAACACCATATGTACTTATAAACTTACAAATTGAGTTTTTATTTTGTTCATTCATAGTGCCTGTGATATTAATAGATTATGGACAACATTTAGCTGTTTCAGTTCTTTCTGAGTCAGCACTCTTCATCCTTGCTGATCAAAGCAAACAGTGGCTTTCCTATTCTTAGAGGATCTACACCGTTGCCTATCATTAGGACATCTGGTGGGAAAACCTCCCAGTTAAGGTGGAAATGGTATTCCCACTTCACAGATACCTCAGTTCTGTCCAAACTATTTCCCAAAGCTGCAAAAGAAGTATGTGCCCCACAAATATGATTAAAGAAAAATTCTTCATTTTGCTTGTATTTGAAATTCTTACATCACATCCTACCCCTTCTCTGCTAGGGGCTGTTTCCATGCTTTGTATTGCCCTTTTATGTGTTTAGCCACTGCTAGATGACAGAAATGCTCCTGTAAAAAGTACTTTCATAGAGAAAGAAGGAACAGAATGTGTGTGACTCTAAGAGAAGGCTCGAAAGTCATATTTCAGCTTAAGCACCTACTTCAACCTACACAAACTCAAAGAACTAGCACTGCAACAGTTCAGTGAGATTTGTTATTTGAAAACGTAACTTCTATTACATCATAGTGCAGGACCAATTTTCTTCTCATGGAACACTTGCAATGCTTTAGCTTAAGTCAAATTACAACATATGACAGGAGCTATGCAAATAGTACTTATTTTGTACTTCACCTACTATGCCTCTTTGCTTAACAAAATTAATGCTTGTAGAAGGAATTGAAACCACAGCTAAAGGAATTCATGCCTACTTTTTCATCAGAATTCAGCTGCTACTTGAAATTTTATAAAAAAAATAAAAACAAACAAACAAACAAACAAACAAACCAAAAAACCTCAAAAAAGGGCTATAGCTATCAATAGAATGGATAAGAATAAATTCTACATTTGAACTTGTTACTAAACTAAGAGACATTACATTACTGAAAACAAAGTGTACCCTCTGAAAGTCGTCAAGATCCAAAACTTCAAAGAAAGCATCCAGCTGCTTGCACTATGAAGACAGTTATCATTTTTTCTTTCACATTTGGATATAAGAAACTAGCATCATTCATTATTAAATTTTGATACATTTTAATTTTGAAAATGTAAATTAAATGATGATACACTGACACGCTCTGGTAGGAATCCAAGAAAGTTTCCCATAGAACAATTCAGTCTTACCACTCTGTAGAGATACAGGAAGCTTTGACTTTATTCAACTCATCTTGAATAGCCTGTTTGGCTCGGATTTCAGCATCAAGAGCTGACTGTAGTTCCAACCTTGCAGACATATCTAGCTTTGCAAAACGGCGCATCTTCCAGGGCATGTCCTAGTAAAAAATAATTAAAGGGAGAAGGAAGAGTAAGGCAAAAGCAGGCAGAAAAGGAGGAATGTAACTAACTTGAAGAATTATATCTCTTAGTCTACTATGTTCTTGACATAACAGTTCCTTAATTTCAAAGTAATCAAAAAAATTCTTGAGAGCATTCTTATGATTCTTAAACTCAAGTAATAAATAGGCAAGATGAATGTCATATGCTGTCATAGTCTCAAAAGGAAAGAGACTCTGCAATTTCTACTTTTGATGTGTCTCAATTCAAATGACTACTATAAAGGACAGGCACAAGTGAAAGACTTCAAGCTTTCCGTGCAGCATGGAAATATACATTTCCTTCAACAGATTAATATACGATTAGGAAGTAGCTACTTCAAGAATATCATAGAAAAAAACTGCATTATGTGATAAACAATAAATTTGCTAGTCACTTATTCAGAAGGAAAGCTCTAGAGAAGTTTAACTTTTGACTAACACAGCCTCTACAGAAAGAATATTATTACTGCAGCTGAAGCTATCAAATTACCATTACCATTTTTAAACAAACCAAACATCTGATATGCAGAATTATAAATCTTACTGTAGCTCTTGCACCCAAGCTGGAGTTCCTCAGGGCCTCTAGTTCTTCTGTCATTTTGGAGGCCAAGGCTTGAAGATAACCTCGAGCATCTTTTTCATCACTTACCCTAGACAATTACATTAGAAGAAAAATTTTTTAACTAAACAATATAAACAAAAAATAAAATTTTCTTCATTTTTCTTAGTGTACTGACACAGGCTAAGCAAGAACCCCAACTTAATTCCCTGCAAGAGGAAGGTAAGCTAGCATCCAAACCTAAGGAACTGCACTGACATACAAGATGAGGGAAAGTGGATCCTCATCTCTGCTGAGAGCAGAAGGAAGAGCCTCCCTTTTGCCCCCAGACTGCCCCTACACAACACGTATGAGGCTCTGGGAATGGAAAAAAAGAAAGGTCATGGCTAACAGTCAAGACACAGGAAAAGAAACATCCTTAATGTTGGTAAAACTTGTTGAGGGTGCACTCAATTCCACTGTCAATGTCTTTCATGAAGATAGCAAAGAGTATTGGTCCCAGCCCTGAACCCTGAGGGACACTACTTGTCACTGATCTCCATCCAGACCTTGATTTGTAGACTACCACTGTCTAGGTACAATGTTGCAACAAGTTCCTAGTCCACTGAGCAGTCCTCCCAACAAATTGATACATTTTCAGTCCAGAGAAAAGGGAGTAAGGAGGGACAAAAGCCTTACTGAAGCCCAGACAGACAACGTCAGTGGCTCTTCCCTTGCTCACTAATGCAGTTATGCCCTCATAAAAAAACACTAGGTTAGTCAGGCAGGATCTGCTGTTGGTGAAGCCATGCTGGTTATCCCATATCACTCCTCTCTCTTCCATGTGCCTTAGCATAGCTTCCAGGAGGATCAGCTCCATGATCTTCACTGGCACAGAGGTGAGGCTGACGGTAGTTCCCTGGGTCATCCTTTCTACCCTTCTGAAGAATGGCTGCAGCACTGCCTTTTTTCCAGCTTCTCCTAGTGACCTGTCTGCAGAAAGGGATTTCCCCCCATTGCATATAAAGCAATACAAATTTCTCTTGTTGATTTTACACAATGAATATGGAAATAGTGCAACATGAAAGTCTACCATTAATTAATGAAAATAAAATAATGCTTCAACAAAGTTCTACAGATAGCAAGCCAGAGAGGAGCTCTCACTTTGAACTGCCATGGGCTTGGGAGGAACAGAAGAGCTTTACTATAGTAAAAGCTATAAAGTAAATATCTACAGGTTGTAGTGACTTCTGGGTGTGCAGTTTAAGATTTATATAAGGAAGAATGCTTTAATCAGAGAAGCTAGAGACTACTTGCCACAAAACTCCCACCCAACATGATAAAGTTAAGAACTTAATTATTCTGTCAGCTTTATCTTCTTTGTCTCTTGCTTACAATTTAGTTCAATGGGTAAGGAGGAGAGTAAAAAACATAACAAAACTAAACTAAAAACCATCTCCTGATTCCATTTAAGTCAGTGAGATAGTTTTGATATGAATGGATTAGCAATTTCCCAAGGTATACGAGGACTCAATGGAAGCAGACTATCAACTTTCTAACATTCTATATGTAACCCATTTTGATGACTAGATGAGAAGATCCTGTTCTGTACCAACCATTTATGATACAAGAGTGGGCAAAAGGTGCAGGAATCAGCATAAGAAGCTTATACACAACAAAACGGATACTAAAAAGAACAAAGTACAAGTGGGAACAGAAAGATTCACTTCCCATGTTAGAAAGAAAGGTTGTTTTGTTTTTTTTTAATTACAAAAATCGATGCCATGTTTATGCAGACTCTTTACTCTTTTAAAGAGAATAAATAGTGCAAATGGAAGTAGAAATGGTGGTGTTGTCCACTAGATGGCAACATTTTCTCCAAAATGATTTACATATTGATCAAATACTGATTTCTTAAGAGCATTTGGATTTGCTACTGTTTTGCTGGTGATTATTGTGCTGTTGTTGGAAAGTAAATGACTAAAACTAAAATTTCATTATGTACTTGAAGACAACATCATGTTGACCTTCAAATAACCACTGACAAACATCTGGGAGTTTATTTGTCATGCTACTAGGAAAGTGGGACCGTCTGTGTCTGTATCCAGAATACTTTACAACACAAAATGAATCGAGACCAGAGATTTTTTTTATTATTATTGTTATTATTATTGTTATTATTTGCTATACAGAAGGAATCTTGAAGCCCTGGGATCACATACCAAGCTGCAAGGAAAGTCTGAAGGCTATCACTCTTAGTTCTCCCATCGATTCTCAGAGATTTTAAATCTCTCTGTCTCTCTACCACTATCTTTAAAGTCTCAACTCTTTCTCCCTTAATCTATTTAAAAGAAACAAACAAACCAATCCTATTTCTCTAAACCTTCAGAACTTTTTTTTTTGCTCTCAAATACTGAAGTTTCCCATTACTCTCCATAATTTCTATTTAATAGATGATTAATCTCCGATTATTCCTACTTTGAACACCATGAATCTCGGAGCATCTCAGGTTTTCAGCTGAATTTCCTGCAACTTTTTGATAGCTATCAAAAGTCCCATCCTACTCTAAATCTCGTATTCAATTTGTGTATGCTTTCTTCTGAGAACAAGCAGATTTCAAAACTCAAAGAACTTTAAAGTACTTGTGATACTTTAAAAAAAAATGAAATGAATAATCAAGATAAAATCAACCCTACTGCAGTTGGTAGAAAGAAATCTAGTTAACAAGGAGAATATTCACCAGATCATCTCTGTAACAATAGCCATACCTTCTGGCCTCAGTTGAATCTAAGCTTAATGTCTCACTCTATGCGTAAATTACGTAGGATTTAGTTCATTTTTACATACATACTCAACATACAAAGTTATTAATTTGAACTCATTGTTAAAGATTCATTTTCAATGAGTGGAGAGAAAAAGAGACTTCTACAGTATTACTTATGGGATTGTCTACCTTTACGATTTTTAAAATTGGCTTACAGCCTCCCAGAGAGGGCTGGTAAGTTCAGATTTTTGACAAGTACTCTGGGAATCCCTACCAAGATTTCCATGAATCTCTCTCAGCAATAAATCAGAAATACAGTGGAACACCATGGCTATTCAAAAGTTTCTCTTTTAAAGTGACTGTGTTAACCTCACAGACAATTAATTTCTTTCCTATCTCCCATAGGAAAATTTATAGCTAACTATAAAATCCTCAACATTTCTTATTGTTGTCAAGGAATGATGAATGATTTGGCCAATATAAGCATGTCATTATAATAGCTCCATTAAAGCTGAACGGTCTGTGAAGGTCTATTGCTACCAACATTAGAATATGCAATTAAATTTTGGTTGAAGTATTTATATTAAGAAGTTGGCTATATATATGGTGCCTTGGGATAATAATGGCAAAAATAAGAAGAGTTTTGCACATCTTCCATAAACAAGATGCAAGAGACCACAGTAAGAATGCAGAGAAAGGCTAAAGGGAACATGACAGGTCAGTTTTATAACTTTCATGTTACAAAATTTGAAAAAAAATAAAATTTAGAAAGCCACAAGGAGTTGTGAAAAGAGCAACAGTCTTAACTGCCCAAAACATGAACTCAAAGAGAGCCACATGAGTGCCACACGTGTCCTGAGAGAGATCTGCAAGATGGTAAAACACTCAAAATGAAGGACTCCTTAGGCTTGTGTTACTTAAAACAGAGCTACAGCAAATACCTTGAACTCTCAGAGAGCCAAACAATCTGCTTCCCAAAATAATTGCATATACTGCCTCCGATCCTTCACAAATCATGGTAGAAAAATTAGACAAGAGGACAAAAAAAAAAATTTGAAGGTGTTTTAAAGTATGCACCCAAAATTTATATTTTGATTTAGTATTATATGAAAATCTTTTAGGTGAGGAGAAGAAGATCTATCGTAGTTTGTTAGCTCCCAGGCATGCTATTTCCAGTTTGAAGATGCGGTGAGGTATGGATTGAATTTCTATGTTCTCCCAAAGAAAACAGACATGCGACTGACTAAATTAGTTTAAAAAGAATGTAGAAACTTTTCTTTTCAAATGTTTACCGTTAGAATGGATAATAATTTACACAGCAGCCCATGTTGCACAGCAAAAAAAGCTCCCAGATAAAGGACCTAGTTTCAGTATGCTGTGCTGAATCCTAACGACAGCAGAGGGGCGTTACCAGATCATCTGGCTAACACATGGGAAATCCAAATACAATAAGAAAGAAATGTGAGCAACTATGTTGCCTCACAATGCTGAAAAATTTCAATACAGGTGGAAAGAAATGCAAAAGGAAAATTAAGATACATAAGGTAATTAAAAACTGAAACTAAATCATGTTTTCTATCTCCTTAATGTCTGCCTGTAGTATTTTTTCTTTGCCTTTTTTAAAACAAATTTTTAATTTTTAGTTCCATACTTTTAAAAATACACTGTACTATTGAAAGAGATCAGTAAAATGCTTTTAAGTCATTCTTGCATGTTGCTAACTTTGTTTTATTTAGAATCTTTAGGGATACAAAAAAAAAAAAACCAATCCCAAACCTATTTTCCTCCCAAGTGACATCTGATGCGTGCAAGATGCCTTATCGTGTATCTGAACTACATCAGTAGTACATCCTAAAATATTAAACGCTCTCATAAACTGGAGAACGGACTTTCTTAATGGCTGTGGGTACATTTTTACATAGTGTCAAGTAAAACAATCCATTTTTAATGGTGACTTGTCTTTTTCTGTAGCTCCAAAATTTTGAGTGCTTTCCAACAACATGGAATGTAAAACAGACTTGTGTCTCTTTTACCTTGATATTTTTCTGAATAAATATTTTCAATCAGCTACAAACTAACAGAGTTTTAGCAAGTGAATATATTTTTCTGCAATGCAGACTGTCTACTACATTTAGAGATGGGACAGACAAGCCTGCACAATTGGACCCTTTAAATTTCATCATCTCTGCTATGAATTCAATGCTTTGACACACTATGAACTTCATAAAACAGATCAGAGTTATGTTATTTAATGTAACAAACAGTTTAAAACACTTCCAGAAAGCCAGAAGACAATCTTGCTTTCTTTTTATATATCACACATATATTCAAAGGCAAACTTTCTGTGTATTTGAACAACAGAATTATACTTACAACATTCATTAAAATAAATGTTTCTGATTCTTGCTTTGGCATAACAAGTTACATTACTTAGTCACCACGAGGCAGAAGAAATAGGGAAGAATTCAAGTAGTAAATAAAAAAAATATTCATATGCCATAATGATATCTTCACAGAAGTGGAAAAAATGTTGAGATACAAAATATTTTCATGGATACTAAACACTACATTGAGCCATACAAGGGGAGGAGAGAGAAAAACAGGAACGGAGGAGAAAAATGAAAGATGTCTACAAAAAGCAATCTCTTTCCCTCAATATCTTCAAGTTATTTTTTTTCTCCATTTACTAGAAGTGGACAGAAGACTTTATAAGCGTAGCAATCATTATTTAACTAAAGTATTTTTAGAAACATCATCTGACTGGCACTGAGACAGTCTCAAATCTTCTGTCTTTCTGCCTTGTAAAAATCACATCGAAGTTGCACTACATTTGTTTCATTCTGACACATGCCAAACAGATGAAGGACATTAATGCTGAGACAGAAATGCTGTCAGCCACCACTTTTCCCAGGCTTGCTCCTTCTTGGAGGCGTGAGCTCAGCACATGACTCCTTCCAGCATTCTTCCAAAGCCACAAGCCACACCCAACAGCCATGATCATTTTGCGCTTCAATCCTTATATTTGAAAAGACACTTTCCTTCTTAAGGGGGAACACAATTTTCCAGATATGGATGTTATTAAAATCTCAGGCAAAAATACACCAGAATCCCAGACAGGTGTGAGATTTCACCTAAGCACTTGCAAGTGTCAAATACAAATGCAAAACTCAGCAACAGCCCTACCACAGACTGAGTACTCACCATTGGATGATCTCAGTAATTTGGGCCTCCCAGTGGGCCACAGACTCCTTTTTATCTGCTAGGTCTCTCATTTCTTCTTCCAGCTGCCGGTTATTCATACTCAGCCTCTCAAACATGGTGGTGAGCTGGATGAGAAATCAAACAAATTGTTAAATGTATAAGCTATTGTGACTGCATCTCTCTACAGACTCAGGGCCATGCATCTCTTCTCTCTCTCAGTTTATATAACTGCTCTAAGATTTGCTAATATCCACCACAATGAACAGCATGAAACAATAAAAGCCAGAATCCTTCTTCACGTATGACCTCAGCTTTGCTTAAAGGTTCTAATCTTAAAGGACTAGAACTACATATTTGCTCTAAAAAACAACACATCAGTTTCTAGAGAACTAGTCTCCATATAACTGTACAACTCTTAAGGGGTTTCTGTTTCACACTATACATGTGCGACCGATGTCATTTACCTGGACTTGAGCAAGGCCTTTGACATGGTCCCCCACCACATCCTTCTCTCCAAACTGGAGGGATGTGGATTTGATGGGTGGACCACTCAATGGATAAGAAACTGGTTGAAAGGCCGCAGACAGAGGGTGATCATCAATGGCTCTATGTCCAGGTGGAGGCTGGTAACGAGCGGCGTCCCCCAGGGATCTGTCTTGGGACCGGTGCTCTTTAACATCTTTATCAATGACATTGATGACGGAATTGAGTGCACCCTCAGCAAGTTTGCTGACGACACCAAGCTGAGTGGTGTGGTTGACACAGTTGAAGGACGGGATGCCATTCAGAGGGACCTCGAGAGGCTAGAAAGGTGGGCCCGGGTGAACCTGATGAGGTTCAACACTGCAAAGTGCAGAGTTTTGCACTTGGGCCGGAGGAATCCCAGGCATCCCTACAGACTGGAAGGAGAGGTCCTTGAGAGCAGCCCTGTGGAGAAGGACCTGGGGGTCTTGGTAGACGAAAAACTTAACATGAGCCAGCAGTGTGCCCTTGCGGCTCGGAAGGCAAATGGGATCCTGGGCTCCATCAGAAGAGGGGTGGCCAGCAGGGACAGAGAGGTGATTGTTCCCCTCTACTCTGCTCTTGTGAGGCCCCATCTGGAATACTGCGTCCAGGTCTGGAGCCCCCAGTACAAGAAAGACAGGGAGCTGTTGGAGAGGGTCCAGAGGAGGGCCACAAAGATGATCAGGGGACTGGAGCACCTCCCCTATGAGGACAGGCTGAGGGAGCTGGGCTTGTTCAGCCTGGAGAAAAGAAGGCTGCGGGGTGACCTCATTGCAGCCTTTCAGTACATAAAGGGAGCCTACAAAGAGGAGGGGAATCAACTCTTTGAAAGGGTGAGTGACAGCAGGACAAGGGGAAATGGTTTTAAGCTGAGGGAAGGGAGATATAGGTTGGATGTCAGGGGGAAATTCTTTACGGAGAGAATGGTGAGGTACTGGAACAGGCTGCCCAGGGAGGTTGTGGATGCCCCGTCCCTGGAGGTGTTCAAAGCCAGATTGGATGGGGCCCTGGGCAGTCTGGTCTAGCATTAGGTGGAATGGTGGTGGCCCTGCATGTGGCAGGGGGGTTGGAGATTCATGATCCTTGAGGTCCCTTCCAACCCTGGCAATTCTGTGATTCTGTGATTCTGTGAATGCTCTCTATACAAAAAAATAAATTGAAAAGGCAAAGCAAGGGCACAAAAAATGCTACAGCTCAGATAAAACTACTGAATGTCTCCCTTGTCTAGTAACCATGAAGAATGAGGCTTAACAGATATAGCCACAAATCAGTCAGGAGATTCTCCAGGTATTTCACATTTCCATTTTTCATTTTACTCGCAGACAGAGAAACTGAAATTAAATGCACATCTGTAAGTACAAAATGGAATACCTAACAATTAACCTTCCTTGCATTCACACAGCTGTCATTCATACAAGCACCTTCTGAAAGGCAAAAGCCACAGCTAACCTAATTTTTTATGGGAAACTAAAGCTTCATTATGCTAAATATTCCCAAAATCAAACTGAAATTAGACATCAGACAGGCTTAATAGAAAGGCATGAGGAGAAGAATAAATCTCATATGAAATGTTGCTTTTTGCATTGAAATGCATTAACAAATCAAAATGATGAAAAAATACCAATTTTTAAGCTATTCTTTTTTATTCCTTATGTGAATACTTAGCTACATATTCATCATTTCAATGTGTCTCTGATTTAAATGTCTATTTTTTCAGCGTTGCTTTACAAAATATATACAAAGCTAATCAGATTTTGAAAAACAGAGAAAAGTGAAATGAACAATAAAGAGATAACCTAAATATACATAATCTAAGTATTCCTTGCTCAATACACTTCAATCAAATTGTCATACTGTATGTATTTTTTCAGTGACTCGAAGTAATACAGAGTCTCACCAAGCAGGAAGGCTATTTAACACCAAGTTTCAGGCAAATAGACTCTACATAATCACATTAAACATCATTAATCATTAAATCTATAACTTTCAAAAATCATCAGAAACATCAAAATCATAAAACATAACTTCATGTTTGGATCACACAGGGAAATATATTTTTTCTTTTTTTGGCTTAGAATATTGTATAAAATTTATCTTAGCAAACTTAATAGCCTTAGTAAAACCACATAACTTAATACCCACCCATATATACGTACACCTGCATATATACATACATATATGAGCACAATCTCAAATTCAGATGCCTGTGGATATTCTCTATTCAAATATTAATGACAACTTTTTTTGTTTTATATTATCTTCTAGTAAGAGTTTTGTTAACCACTGAAGCTTTATATTACCAAATCTGTACACAGCCTACACTCAGGATTCAGCTCATCAGCACTTACCTTATCAAGTTCATTTGAAAGTTTCTTGTTTTCCTCTGTTAGCAGAATCTTTTCCCGTTCATACTTCTGTTTGAACTCTGTTTCAAATTCCTCCCTTTCACTTTGGCTAAGAAATAAAATGGATTAGATTTAGAAAGTTTCCTTTCAAAAATGTATCACACTCTTTACTTAAATATATAATGATCGATATAGACAGTAGCTGAAAGGAAAGTACTACACTGGTAATACCCCAGTCTACCAAAACTAAAGCACATTATGTGTTAAACTACCATTCTAGTACTGTCAAATAGTCTTTAATTTAATCATCAACTAACTTCCCTTCAATACAATATTAAAAGAACTTCCCCAAGCCACTGTTTATCAATCCACTTGTACACATTTTATTCTTTAATGAATCCCTCAAACACTGAGTAGCTAAAATTCTGTTGATTGAAGTCTGTCAGTATTCTGAGACATTCTAGACAACTTCTCTTAAAGTTCACAGAAACGCTATTTTAATTTTCACGTTTCCATAGTTCCAGGTTTCATACAGAATGACAGGTGAAAACCACAATGTACGTAACTAGCATGTACAGATGCTGTGTAATGAACTAGAGAACCTGAAATTAAATTCTTGTTTTGACAAAAAACACTGCCATTTCCTTAGAGTTTAAATGCTGCAGACCTCCAACTCCTGTCAGAAATAGAACTTCTATTCTGACCCTCATTACAACAGAAAGTTTCAGAAGATGGCACCGTAGCATCTTGTATTCACTGTGATGGGTAACTGGTACAAAGTTCATGTAGGAACTGCATTATGAATGCTAAAGGTACAGAAAATACCCACCAGTAAACATCACTGACTGGCTTCAAAAGGTTTAAAAACGTGCAGTTCTTTAAAAAAATAAAATCCAGGTGCAATTTTGTCTTGAACATTGCAACTGTTTTTCTGGATACCAACCAGAATTTTACGTTGCACAATAGAGAAATTATAACCTCACCACTGCTTCTAAGATGTGTAACTAGTACAAATGTACCAAATTGCAAGAACACCCTTAAAAAAAACAGAGAAGTGCCAGTGGTTACAGTGAACCCAGTTAAGAGTAGTGCTGGTTTGAATTTCCTATCCCTAATTTGAAATTCATTTAGCGCTTCAACTTCTCTTTGAAATCTAGTACAGCATGTTAGGTTCATGGTGAAATCCTATGTTGCTAGGCATCCTTTGAAACATAACACTACTTCCTAGCAAAGTAACATACTATCATTACTGTTTAAACGCCAAGTTTGAAATTCACCACCACTCCTTTTCTGCATCAACAGATTCCCTATATATGATGAACCATCCAGGGAAAAGGCAGGAAAAGATTAAAGCATTGGCTGTCAGGGGAATTAATAACAGGTCTTGCTTCTGTTTGCAAGGCAGAGATTCAAAACTAATTTATCAGAGTGTAGACCAAGCTTAATTTTAATTTCTCTAACTCCTTTTATTTAGCTTTTACATATCAATGTTTCTGTGGGGATTTATTTATTTATAGCATATATATTCTGTGTTTCTTGTTATTTTAAGACTTTAAGGCTCAAAGTAGTCAAAAAAGGTGGTGAATTATGGATAGTAGCCCAACATGCTTGTCGTTCTCTGTATTTTATGTTCTTAATTAAACTGCTAATTGTCACTAACCTAGTAAGCCAAATTGCTACAGTATGGTACACAAAGAAAATGTGAATATGATCTATTACACCCAAATACCAATTCAGCAAGCCACAGTACTATGACAAACTCCACAGGCGTATCCTGGACAGCCAAGAAGATCAAAATACAACATTTGCTTTGAAGCCTAGCATCCTCCTCTCCCATCAAGTTTCTTCTCTCATCTAAAATTTAGCTATGTGTTCGCTTCAGAAGTTTAAGAAATGATATGCAATCCAGATTTTTTTGTTGGTAAAAAAAAAAACCAACACAACAAAAACACAACAAAACAAAATTATCACAAACCACATGCAAAGAACATGAAATACAGCTTTATGATATCACTTTTTCATTTCAGATCTTAGCTGTGGATGTACAAAGTAGATTAACATTTTATCTTACTGCTTTAAAAACAAGACCCAAAACAAACACCAGCCCTCAGGTTACTAAATATCATAAATCTAAAAAAGCAAACACTATTTTATAGAACTTTCTTTCTTTATAAATCCATCACTGATAGACTTAAAACTTCACACACAGTTTATTCTTCACCCTATTCTTCACCTTCCTTCTGAAATATTTCATAATAACAACTCTAAGAAATTGAATATTGTATTACACATATCACTGACCTGATACTATGCCCCTATGTTTCCAATTTTAGTAGTACACACTTTATCAGACTATTTGCAAAGAGTACAGAGGGGTAGTTTCTCTTCCTTGAACACTTATACTGTTGGGATAACAGGGAATAAATCCTAAATTTCAAGGAAACAAACAAATAAAAAAAAAAACCTGTTTTAAAAAATGAAATGGTAACCAAAAGCATGCAAGTTAAAAAAAAAAAAAAAGTTCCCAGAGCAGATTCTGACTGAGACCTAACTGACCCTTGCTTAGAATAACATACAGAATTAACTCTTTACTATAGCCTTTATAAAGCAATGCAACTCTATCCGTCTAACATACACTAAAGTTTATTTTTAGACTACCAAATACACTTCAATGCTGAGCCCACTCCAAACCTATTGTTTAAATAGTTCTACTTATTTCACCATGAAAACTTCAGGTGCTTCCTTTCAACACTTACATTGAACAACAATTCTGTTGGCAGACTCACAAAAAGCTTTGTATGCCTGATTACAAAAGCTAAACACAATGCATGCAAGGAGAAACAGAAAAAGTAACGCTCTCATGAGAAAAACTACAAAATACTATGAACTGTAGTTCTTCCATGCTTAATACTTAGACTTTCCTTCTAAATCCCAGAATTACTACAGATGTCAATCTGCGGCATACACTGAACAGTGAATTTCTGCATTTCTGTGGAGACCCAGTGAAATTCTGTCTATCAGTTTAACAAAACCCAGTTGAAGGTCAAGTCTTCATTAATCCCTCCTGCTGTGTTTGGACACCTGACTTGATACGATGCTTAAGCCCTTTCCACTATGGGCTAAATGTTGGATTCCAATGTGTAATACATTTCTGTTCAATCTTTACAATTTTTTCTTACATCAACATTTGAAATACAGAAATACATGACTACATCAGCCTTCACTTCAGATTTTGATGCAGCTCATGTTCTATTTAGAGAGAAGCTGTAAGACAAAAAGCTAGCATGAAGGAGATCTGCATCGTTAGGCCATTTGTCAGTAGATGAACATCTAGTTATAGGCTCTGCAGCTGTGCATTAGAATAGCTCTGACAGAACTCCAGAGTTTTTGTATTGGTTGACATTTGAAGGTTTCATCTCTAAGAACAGTTTAGGCTGCAGAAAAAAGTATTAATGATTCAATATTCCCTCCTTTAGAGGCACTAATGAGCTGATGTCATTAAAAGAGTATCATACTATCCCCTTTATTAATTACAAGACAACAAAGCCTCTTCTGAATTTATAAGCCATAGGTTAGCAAGACCATTAAGTTGTGATACAATGAAAACGCACTACTGATGGCATGCTTCACCTCTCAACATCTAATGAAGCAGCAAATAAGAAGCTGCTACAATAATATGTTCAGCTTACAAATTTGCACAGGCTTTCTGAAAAATGCTTTTATTTTATTTACTGTTTATATTCAAGGACTGCTACAGCTTAGGCTTTCAGTAGGAATCTCTCCTTCATGCTTTTTCTAATATCTCATCACAGCAGAAAAAAGGAACACCTACTTCAATGTCTATAAAGTACTCTGATTTTTATGAATGGAAATGACGAACACATTCAAGCTGTGACTATTAGTATTTTCAACACTACACTATCCAACAGAAAAACTCATTTCTACTGATGAATGCCTCAAGAAACACTGTCAAGGCTAGTTGTAAGCTCCACTGCATGGGAGAGAAAAAAGCACCTCTCTGACAAATTACCATGCCAAAAGAGATAAAGCAGCTTATGCCTACAGTAGTCTGATGACTGATGTTAACACTGGATACAACTCAGCATGGATTAGCCCTAGTCCGCATTAGGTTCCTGTGCAGGGAGAAATATAAGCAATAGTTGATCTTTAACACATTTCTTTTGCATCAAGGGATGAAAATACCAAACAAAAAAAAAGTAAACAAATATTTTAAACTGCAACATAAATATCTGTGGTCAATATAGCCTGAGCTGCAATTCTGAAACTCGCGTTACATACCTTGGAACCATCAGACAGTGTCAGAGTTCTGGTGTAAGATTAACTGTTTCATTACAATATTATGTATTTTGTTGTCATTATTGTTTCACTTGTAAAGGTGACTTTACTTTCAGTCTCTCAAAACCATACTGTGTCAGGAAATACAATAGGAGCCTTAGAAAGATATTCTCAGCTTTTTAATTTTATTCCATAAAATACTCACTTTTCTCTTCTGGTTTTCTCTAACTTGTCTTTCAAAATCATAATCTCCTTCTTAAGTGCAAGCTGCTGGCTCTCTGCATCCCGTAGTTCCTTCTTCAGACTTTTTATTTCATTAGCATGCATTATTTCACGTTTAGATAGTTCCTCTTCATAGAAAACACTTTTCTTTTCCAAGTCTGCCTTTAATTTAGTGATCTCTTGCTGGTGTTCTATACTGCTTACCCCAGGAGAGCGACCAATCTGTTTTTGCTAAAACAAGAAGCTCCAAGTTAGCACTCAAGAATGCTGAAAACAATGCTTAGCAGCAACTCAATACTCTTAAGTCTGTGTTTAGAAAATATCCCATTACAGAATTTACATAAAAACACGTATCTATCTTTCTGAAAATTTGTTCACCATAAATCTGAACTGTACATTTATCATTTTGCGATTTAAATGCAGTAATAGTTTTCAAAAGATGGAAATCATCACTTCAAACACCACGTGACACACTGTGACTCCCCTCACACGCAGTCAAAGTGACCGCAGCATTGAAAGACGTTTATGTTCCCACTCATCCAGTTCACAGCAACAAAACCTGAGAGGCTTTCAGGAATGCAGAAAAAGGACAATGACATTTAGTCAATATATTTCAAATCATAAATAATTTGTGGAAAAGCTATACAAAGACAGGCAGTGACTTAAGGCTAAATTCTAGCTACAAAAACACTACATGGATTGCATCAGTCAGGAAAACCTGATCTATTTTACTTAAACTAACCATTTACATCACAGCAGATTAACAGGAAAACAAGCTTTAGACAATAAGAATACTTCACTTTTCACAACTGCAACGTCTCTTGGTGAGATCTGGCATTTCAGTAGTCTTCACCCATTGCTTAAGGACACATATGCATTTGTGTCAAATGCGCACTTAAAGTCCTGCAGTGACAGGACAAACTGAGATTGTGGTGTTATACACGCATTGAAATCCAAGTATGGAAATGTAGATACATTACATGTATAACTTGCTTCAGATTTTTTTTTCTATTTTTAATATGGAAGTAAACATAATAAATAAAGCAAATTAATAAAAAGACTGCTTCAAAAAATGGCAGATAACTGGAAAACCTTCTTCCTTGGGATAACTCTCACACTTGTAGGAGGTTCTACAGTATTTTGTAACTAACTCCATTCTTACCATCAGTAAACATAACTTTCCTTAGCTTACTTTGCTGATGCACGAACAGATTTCAAAAGCTAAAAGTCACTGAACAAATAAAGATTATCTGAATTATTATTATGATGAAATATGTGAGAAAATGGCCTTGCTCTGAGTGTCAACCTAACGCTGTAAAAACCCCTAACTGAATAAGCCAGATACATGCTGCTACCTCATTGTTTTCTCTAACTTATCCTCATCAAAATGACCACCTGTTTCGACCAAAGAAGATCGAATATCTGTTTCGATCAAAGAACAAAATCCTGCTGTTCTGATGCAGAATGGTTAATCAGAGAAAAAAGATGCCATACTAAATGAAGATCGTCCAGAGAGGAAAGGGAAGGAATTTTCTTTCATGCCCATGTAGTCAACTACCGAACTTGCTTTTTACTGCCCAAAATGCTTAACTGTCTACACATATGTAACAGTGGAGCATGCAAAACATCTGTTTGCAACATCATGGTCTTAACGGTTTTTCACAGCAAGGGACGACGGGCACAAGCTGGAACACAGCAAATTCCATACAAACGTGAGGAAAAACTTCGTTACTTTTAGGGTGACAGAGCACTGAAACAGGCTGCCCAGAGAGGTTGTGGAGTCCCTTTCTCTGGGAATATTCAAGACCCACTAGGACACCTTCCTGTGTGATTTGCTGTAGGTTGCTGCTTTAGGAGGGGGTTGGACTCAATGACAACCAGAGGTCCCTTCCAATCCCTGCAATTCTGTGATTCTGTTATAAAACAGATGCTGCAGCAGAAGAGAGAGCTGGGTGGTATTATACAATGGCAAACAGAATTAGAGTAACAGAAGAAAGAAAAAATATGTTTTGAATTGATGTAAGCACAAATTCCAAATAGATGTTTTCATACATGCCTGTTTCAAGTGGACAAATAGTGCAACTGAGACATAATGCATCATTTGGCACGTAGATAGATGCCATAACTCAGTGCAGGAATTCTTCCCCCTCTCCCTCTCTCACAGGCACACACAAACAATCAAGGCACCACACAGCAGCTCTTTCACTGAACACCTATGTAGCTGACTAAGTGCAAATTGGCAGCAGCACTGTAAATAAGACTATAAGGCTTGACATGTACATCATGTACTGCGGATGCTGTAAGTGCAACGAAACAGACATCAAGTTTTGTACTTGTAGAATAAAGAATAAGAATCATTAAATATTGCAACAATATATCAGAAGGCATGAAAAAACTTACTAATTGAGCAATCTAATATTAAATAAACATACAAGTAAAAATCTTGGAAGACTTTTAGCTTGGCTTTAATTTGATAAGCCTCTGGTATTATGCATGGCTTCAAAATTCATATCTTGCATTCTGCAGATGGTAATGATAACTTACTATGCTAGGAATATGAAGAAACTTAGGATTGTGATGCTTACAACAGCAGTTTTATGGTCGAAATACTTGCCAAATGCAGCATATTAAGAAAGATTCAATTTTTTTTTTTTAACAATTCATATAAATTATCACTTATTTAGATTACTACATTATTCCTCCCAATTTAATAATTTGCTACTGCTCAGGTAAGAATGAAATCATTTCATTTTCAGTATGTAATCTAAAATTTTAACATACAAAATGTAGTCTAAATTTGCTTGAAATGAACTTACAAATTTAATAAATAATTTAAAAAGCAGCCATACAAATTAGCACCAGAAACACCTTGTCATGAAAACAGACTCTACGTAATTAGTCCTCTTCAGTTCAGACTCAGCCTGGACAAATATGCTTATTTTGAAATTCTAGCCTATGAACATACTTAAAATATCCAATAATAGAAAGAAAATAAATGTGTTGGTTAATATTTCCTGCATTAAAGAACAGAAACTTTTATCTATGCAATCCGAATGTCACTTGCATCACTGAATCTACACCTGACTTGGGTCTCTGAAGTGCCAAAGCCAGCAGGTGAGAATCACAAAGCACTGGGATTTGGGCAGAATTTTGTCTAAATATATATCCAAGGTGGGAGAATAAATTTACCAAAGTAAATAGGAGGGGTAAGATCTTCTAGCAAATCTATGCATTGCCATAAAAATACCAATAAATATGCCCATTAACAGCAGAAGAACAGAGAGACATCTGTAGGTATTTTTGTATTATATTTGTAGATGGTATTTGTGCATTTTGCAGGTATTATTATATTGCCATACCTGATGAAAATCAAGCTACAACTTCCCTTTCCTATTCTGATAAACTTGCCTTGTTGCTATAAATCAGTTAACCATCATTTCTCAGTAGATATCCCATAAATTTCTCTCATATCTCAGAGAGATATACAAACTCTTTCCTGATGGTGAAGATTAATGAAAGCAGAACAAATATATCTTAATTTTCAGACAACAATCTGAATTCACAGCATCAAAAGCTCTAAAAATACGAATTTCGTGATGAATGGATTTCCTTATTTTCATTCAAGGAAGGAAGGCAAAATAAAAGAATGTGTGATTAAAACAAAAACTTCTATGCAGTGACTTAATGTTGATGAATGTTTCATGAAATTCTAATAATGAAATTATTATTCATGTGATTTAAGACCAAAATAGACCTAACTTGATATTTGTACAAAAAATACAGAATTATCCCAGGAACAGCATTTTGCTTGTAAATGAATAACAGCCCCAATGCAGAAACAAAAAAAAACACTTGCCATTCAATTTTTGAGAAAGTCTAATTTCTTTAGAGCCCTGTATATAATGCTAAAGCATGGAATAAAATAACAGTGAACATTCTTGACTTATTTAAATTTCTGTTCCCAAAAAAATGTATGCATGTGTGAGCAATCTAAATACACTAAAACTTTTCCTTTACAGCTACATCAGTTAATTTCCATTCTGGAGAAACCTACCTTTCTTTTCATTTAAAACACAGTACGTGAAACACCTATAAAGAAACCTGCAGAGGCTTTCAGTTTGTCTTCAAATACTCAGCCATTCCACACTTAAAAAAAGCCTTCAAACAAAGTAATAACTGAAGCAGTTTGGTAAAAAAAATCATTGAGAAACTCTTCAGTGAGCAGTGAATACAGTGGTCTGAAAACTGCAATAGGTAAATGTTAATTCTTCTGGACAATAACGCAATTCATGTTTGCACCAGTATTCAGCACTTACTGAAGTGTCAAACTGATAATATCTTTTTCTCTTACAGCTGAAAGCAATCAAACACATCCAGTGCTTGTTGCCTGCTAAGTTTACAGGTGTTAATATTAGAATGAACTAACCTTTAGCCCTTCTACTTCGCTTTCCAACTGCTTGGAGTACTGCTCACTCCGCTCTCGCAATTTCCTGTCTTTGGATGCCTCAGCAGCCGCAGCTTCAGCTTGAACTTCCAGCTACAAAAATACATGCATTTATTAATGGGCAGGGTTCCTCCATTTTTTCAAAACCTATTTATGATTTTCAGAAAGAGAGACACAATTTCAACACTAACCTGGACACTTCAAATTCTTATGAAACAAAAATGGTATCGTTTGAAATAAGAAAAATTTAAAAGATTTACAAACAACATTAAAAAAAAAAGTTTCATCAGAAAACCTTACATATAACTACTATTTCATAAATTCTAAACTTACTACTTACTTCTTTTTTAAGTCTCTCTGTTCTGCGTAACTCTTGCCTTAAACTTTCTACTTTTTGCATCACCACTTCCATTTCTTCTTCCTTATCTCGGAGCTGGCGGGCAAGCTTTTGTTTTTGAGAGTGCAAGTCTGTCAGCCGCTCGTTCATCTCTGAGAACTCCTGCATTGCCAATTTCCGCTGGCTGTGTGCATCTTTCAGCTCTTTGGCTTGAGATTTTAATCTGTCACTAGACTCTGCCAGTTCCTACAGTTTAGAAAAAGAATTAAGTAATAAACCTAGAAAGCTGCAAGACTAATTCTCTGGATGTGCATCTCAAACTTCTCCAAAGTAAGAGAAATTAGACACTCATTTATGTTGATAAATGCATCCACAATACAGACTGCATGCTCCTATAAATCAGATGTTACTACGGAAGTCAGTTAAACTGCAGAAACTTATACAAAGTCTGAATTTGCTCCATTACTATAGGTTAAATATAAGCACTCACACTAAAATATAAAAAAGCCCTGCTGTCTTAAAAAACTTCATCTGCCCAGTCTTTCCATGAACTGCTTAAAAATAAACAAAAAGTACTCAACTGATAAATAATGGTAATTAAAATTTTTTTTGCATCAGTTGAATGGAAAACTCTTGTATGTGAGGACTTCAGCTTTTGAAGCTTCTGAGAACTGATGCACATGGCAATTATAATTTTCACATGCTATACCATAATATAAAATATTACAGAATGTTTCAGACAACACAAAACACTGTGTTCAACAATAGTAAATGATAATTACCCTTTCTTAAGAACCTACATATAGAAGAATACTGCCACTCCTATAGTGGCAATCTTTTGCCAAACCTTCTTAGATCTGTGCTTCTACACTATCAATGAAGGACAACAGCAGTTTATATGGTTTAATGATGTTCAGCCAAAACAGAGTTGAACAAAAAAGCAAGGAAAAGCGAGTCTGAGGATGAAAAGAAAAGCAGGATGAAGAAAGAATATTTGGCACCTATACAAATTTAACAGCGTTTTCTAACATTGTTAAAAGACGTCCTAATCACTATACATTGTTTCAGAATGGTCTTTCTTAGATTAGCTGACAGCACTCAAGATTTTAAGAACTTCGTGAGTTAAAAGAAACAACGAGAAATACAGATGGCAGGTCAACATTGAACGTGGACTCTAAAATACTGGGCTAATACAGATCGTGATGACAAAAAGCCTAATGAAAATATAATCAGATACAAAATACAATGTGATTCAATCATGAACACAAAGCAGGCATGGAAGACAGTACACACTAAATTAAAAATGAGGAACCAGTGATAAAGAGAAAAAAAAAGTCAGTATTTGTTACTGTAGTTATTCCAAATCACTTTTAAAATCTCTACGTTTGGGAAATTTTTCACATCTCTCTTCTTGGAATGCTTCCATGCCACATCCCTAATAGCAAATTCTCAGCATTTTTTCCCTGCTACACTCTCACTCATACTTCAAATTAAATTATTTGTATCTTCTCCATCTTTTAACCACTCTAATTATCACCTTAGTCTAATACTACAAAACTTTCTTTGCAGCCATTCCAAATTTGGATCATTGTGTAGTTTATTACCTGGAATTAGTCACCCAGGACCACCCCACAATCACACACAAAATGCTTTAAACAGTGTCCTTGTCTTAAGTCAGAAAGCAAAGTAGGTCACATTACACATTTTTATCATCTACTCATTAACTTTATATCTTAAAGTTATTTTAATAAAAATTAAAGCATAAAAATAGTCTTTAGGTTTTAGAATAGTCGCTGACTAAACACTTTTACCTTATTAAGATCTTCCCTCTCTTGCTTCAGCGTTCTAACCTGTTTCTCAAAAGCCTTTATTTGTCTAGAAGCATCATCCAACTCCCGCCTTGCAGTGCTGGCCTCTTCAAGTTGCTGTTCTAGATGACCAGAATCTAGAAAAAGCAGCATATTTTAAATATGTTAAGGAGAAAGTTTTCCCACAATAGCACTGTCTAGCTGTTTTAAATCTCCCTTCAGTATTTATTCTTGTCTCAACCACAAACTAAAGCAATTCTTATCTGATTTCAGAATAGGGAGTAAGTTGTTTCAACTGCTCTATTTGTTCTTTAGCAGAATAGAACAGAAGCTCACAGATTACTGTAATGCAACACAGAAAACGACAACTTGTCTTTTTACAGTGTAACAATCAAACATACACATAACTATTTTACACTTCAACATGACCTAAGCATTTGACCTATGTGCACTGTGATGTAATATATAACATTTTCTTACACCATATCTTAACTATAAGCAGTCTCTTTCCTCCACACAAACTCCTTCAGAAGGAACCAAAAAAAACAACGGGTCACTCAAGAGCTGGCAAAGGTTCTCCTGTTGATAGACTTAAAATTAACTTCATAAGATTTTATTTATTTTTAGTGTGAAAACCTTTTGTATTTATATGATATGCTTAAATACTGCTATAAATACAAGAAAACTACTATAGCCAGTTTCTTCCTGTCAACGATACTACAAAAATGCAATACTGAGGCAGAGATAAGTAATGTCAAATACTTTCAAATGTTCTAACATAAAAAGTTGAAATGCGTCAAATATCAGAGAAAACTAAAAATTCTAAATAGTTTTTGAGTGAAATCCTAGGGAGGAAACACTATTGAAAGCAAGATATGTGTGAAAGTGGGTTAATTCTAAATTCTACTAAATCTGCAGACATTTTACCTTTGATTTCAGTTGTAGTGGGTGTTCATACTATGCATTTGTCCACAGACCAGTAACTCAGCCTTACTCTTAATACAAGCTTTTTACTACATTTTCACAAATGTACCCCTAAGAGACTCTTAGAGAAGTCAAATAGAAAAATACTTCTTTAACAGTTGCAATTTCTGAAACAAAAAGATTTTAAAAGGAAAAGAACACCATTATCTTGTCCTCACACAATCATTCGTTATTGTTTTAATTCAATGCCTTTTATTCAGAAACGTAAGAGAGTGCATTTAAATAGGAGATGTAGCTCAGTGCTATAAATTATGAACTGCCTTCCTTATGTAGGTTTCTCTGAAGTCATCAGCAAAAAGAAAGTTTATATACGGCCCTGCTGAGCCAAGATAAATCTCTCTTCTGTGCATGACCTACTTTGTTCCATAGCTCTACTTTCTTCCTCTATTGCTGCCCTTTATATATCTGGCAATGTTAAAGATTCCTCAAAGTTTTCTCCTATATAACTTGCTGAACAAAAAAATGCAACTTTGACCTCAAAAAGTGGAAGCATATGGCTAGTGTCATTCCACAGAAAACCATAGAGACAAAAAAATGCTGTATTTTTCTAAGGTTCCCCTTGTTACAGTCTTGAATTTGACACAATTTCACATTATTTTTATTACCTTTTCAAATGGCTGCTTACACCTACAGTTCAAAATAAGGCAGTAAAAAAGATTAAAGCTGGTTGTAACTTATGAATACTACACAGCAATTTTCTGTCTGATCACCCTGGTTTTTGCTAACGCTTTAGGTAACGTAAGCAAACACTCCCTGTAGGAAATTACTGCATTGCACTTAAGTGCTCAAAAGATAAGCCCAAACTACAAAGTTCAGCTCTGCACCTCAAATCTACCTTCTTAAAGTTCAACAAATCTAGGCTTGGAAGGCCATCCAGAACGTCTGAAACTGGCTCCACTGAACTTGGAATTCAGACAGGATCATCATCTGGTTTGTGTCTGTCTTCTGTAGTTAGTTTTAATTAGTTTTAATATCTATCTCATAATCAGTTTTAATATCTCTCTCTTAAAAACAACATCAAAACAACCAACAAACCAACCAACCAAAAAAACACAAATCCGTAAGATCAAGTAAAACATTCTCTTTTTCCAATTTTATCAGATTACCTCGTATTAGTAAAAACTCAAGGCACAGATGCATGCCTTCTGTTAAATATATTGTCTAGACCAGTGAAGGCATTCAAGCATCTACTGGAAAAGTTACAAAGTGACTGGATGGATTAGATGACTCTGCATGTTGTTTATTTGATCATATTTTTCACTTCCAACACCAAAATCAAAGGCATGTGTTTTGTAGGACCAAATATAAAAATATGCGTATGGTATGAAAGAGAAAACACTTAATGGATACTTATGGGGAAATCTTCTCAATATCAACTGCCTTTACCAGATATTGACTCCTTTTATATGTATAAATGGTTATCAGTTGTGTTCAAAAATGTTTCACACCTTGTCTTTGTTTTTCATCACCTGCAAGAATGAACTGATATCTGAGCTGCAGCTCAGTAAGTCAAGAGCAAAATATAATTTAAAGCTGACAGTGCCACTTTTCTAAGGAGCTGGTCTTCTGCAAAAGCTGTTCTAACTGATGTTGCTATTCTGTGGTTCTAAGGAACCAAAAACAGAGAATTGATTCAGAACAGAGATTTCCAACGACGCTACGCCCTTCATCATTACAGCAGCAACTACAGGGACTGGAAAGAAGTTTCACAAAATCTTCTGTCCTTACACAGCATCTATATAGGTAAGATCCTCCCTGAGCTGCTTAACCAATGTTCACATTCAAAAGTAATACTTGAGGCACAATGAAAAACTGTCAGAGAACATGCCAGAGAAGCTGTCCGAAAGCATATCTATAACACAGTCTCTTTCAGACAACATAATTCTAGCAATGTATAACCTATGCACTTCAATCTGCAGTTCATAGTGTGCTTCTGCCCCATAACACAGCAGCAGAGTATAAACACACCAAGTGATACTCAGAAGTTCTCTTTCTATGGGTGTCCCTGCTGGCATTCCTGACACTTTGATGAAGTTTTTTCACAAGTACAAACCAAGTCAACTCTTTCTTTGAGCCTTTCTCATTGGGTTTTCCCTTGCCACAGGTAACCTAAGGGCATATAAGTAGAGATCACAGAATCATAGAATAGAATCATAGAATTGCTCAGGTTGGAAAAGACCTTAAAGATCATTGAGTCCAACCAGAACCTAACCATACTACCCTAACTATCATAAAGTAACCACTCCTTGTGTCTGATTTTTCCCACATAAAATCCAGACATTTTCCTATCTAGGTTGACAAGAGAAATCAGATTTGTCAAAATAACAAAATTATGTATCAGAGAATAAACTTAATTTCCAAGAATATGATCAAAAATTCAAAGCAAAATTGAGCAGAAAAGGAGATAATTAAAAAAAAAAATCAATTTATATTTAAAAAATAAATAAAGATCCATCCATCAGGTTGTTTGGGTTTTGGCTCAAATAGAGTTAATTTTCTTCCCAATAGCCAGCATGGTGGTGTGCTTTGGATTTAGAATAACGGTGATAACACACAGATGTTTTAGTTGCTACTGAGCAGCGCCTACATTAAGTCAAAGAGTTTTGATCTGCTTGTTCTGCCCTGCCACAGATTGGCTACAGGAGCACACTAAGATGGAATGGGACAGAACCACAATAGCTGACCCAAACGGACCAAAGGAATGTCCCATACCATACAGTCATGCAGAACAACTAAAGTGGGGCAGCTGTCCAGAGCGTAGCTTTTTCTGGTGACTGGCTGGACAGGGATCAGCTGATGGTGAACAACTGCATTGTGCATCACTTGCTTACCTCATTCTTGTTAGTGTTTCATTGTTGATCTTTTTTTTTTTTTCCCCTCTTTCTTTCTTTCTTATTAAACTGTCCTTATCTCAACCCAGCAGTTATTGCACTTGTCTTTTCAACTTTCTGGCCCATCCCATTGCAGGGGTGGGGAGTGAGAGAACAGCTGTGTGGTGTGTAGGTGTCTGCTAGATTAAACCACAACACAAGCATTTTGCAGAGACACCGCAAAAAAACTACTAGACTAACATCTTCATTTCTCATGTTTACTTTCGTAATCAAGAATCAACACCTTCCTCACCTCCAGGAACCACCTCACCTTTTGCATACAAAGCAAGAAGTACTAAGTTATGTTATGATGACTGTGACTTGTAAAAGGACTACAATGACTTTTGATACTGCAAAAATAAACAAACAAGTGCTCCATCTGCTCTTGTACTACATCGTTGAGGGAAAAAAAAACAAAGTAATACAAATGAAAATTCTCAGGTAGTTCCTGATCATCCTTGAAAACTAGCAATACCAAACTTTGAATTCAATAGAACTCTACCGCTAATAATAACAGCAGAAGTCACTTGAACTTCCCTTCCCTCTTGTAATAAGAATTACTGAAGTACTGAGTACTAAGCTGAATTTGAAGAAAACGCTGCACTAGAAGTGAAGGGTATAAAGAGAAGTAAAAATACACTGGGAAACTCTCTAAAAAAGGAAAACAAGCATTATCTTAAAGAAAAATGTCACAATTCTTGCTTACTGTTACAGGTTTTATATTAATAACTTACCTGTTACCTGTTTCTTCAACTTTTCAATTTCTTCTTTTAAGCTTTTAATTTCTATATCTTTGCTTGCTGCAATTGGGCCATCCACTGTTGAATACTGCAGAGCCTGGACTGTTTGAGTGGACTCTAGAAAGAGAGACAGGAGACAGGGACATAGGTGGTCAAAAGAATGTTACTGATAAATGAAGATATAGCAAAAAACGCATCGCTACAGCATGTTAGATTTATGCTTTTAAGGTCATATCACAGATGTTAACATCTAACTCACAGATACAAAAGCTTAAATCAAAAATTATGATGAACATTTAAAAAAACAAACAAACAAACCACAACAGCAAGCAAAAAATGGCTTTTATTTTTCCGAATACCAAAGCAATGTACACTGAACTTATTTAAGCATTTCCGTATGAAGACTTTTCCCTGTTCCCAGCAAGACCATGTCTTACTCCTGTAAAAAACTATACATATCTACACATTAGGATTCTACAGTTTAAAATTTTGAATGGCTACGTGCCAATTCTTCAGCATTTGTCAGGTGGACAAATTAAGTTCTTTTACATAGTGCAGAGACAGCATGTTTTAAGGAATTGCATTTGTGGGATATTTCAGTCATAAAGGCTATCAAAAGTTTAATTTGTCAACAGAAATAATAAAGAGATGTCTTTTCTGCTACAAGACATTCCAGGAGATTTTGGTTGTTTTTTTTTTTTTTCCCCAAGATAAACTGCTTCACAGAGCTGCAGGTTAATTAGGTGAGAAGAGCGACTGAAGTATCTTTTTATACCTTGCAGTTTTCTACTAAGTTCAAGCTTTTCCTGCTCTAGACGTCTTATTCTCCTCTCATAAGCTTCTGTTGCTAAACTGTCTTCCAAAGTTCTTTGAATGTTGGCATCAAGATCCATAGAGGGTGGTCCAGCTGTCAGCCTTAGACAGCTACGGTCTGAAAGCACACTGGGAAAAAAAGTTCAACAGTATTTGATTTTACGAGTCATCTTTAAAATTAAGAACAAACAACAAAACAAAACAAACAGCAAAGTTGTAAATAATATGCAAATTCTTATACAATGTATTTATACAATAAAATAACACTTGGTTAGTATTATTATAAACTCATTTTTACCTAGCATGACTGATCTCAATGTATTTTCAACTCTGATTAAAAATGACTGTCACTGACAGTCCAAGTTAGCCAGATAGCAAAAAGTGACTTTCTAAATAGTCTATAAGATTACAGAAATGGCTTGTTTTAAAATAATTCATGAAGTTCTCCAAATACTTTAAATATAATAACTACAAAAAATGGTGTGAAATTTTCATGTGAAAACCAGGGCATCTATATATCAAAAATACTGTGAAACCCTGGTTCTGCACATAATCATGTACACGTACATAAAATATCCATTTGACATCTACTGGTGATCTCACATTACCAGCATCAAACATGCGTGCTTGCAGAAGCATGGCTGGATTTTCAATAGCTATAATCATTATTTATTTATTTTCATAAACGTTCATGGAAGAATAATGGACTTTCTTGTTATTGTTTAATTTAGCAGCAGAGATGAACATAAATGCTACATAAGTACCAAGTATTGTTTCCATTCAGAGATACAAGAGTGTTAAATGACTCGAAATAAAACAGTTTTTTTAATTCTTTTAAGCCCAGTTCCCTCTGGATCCACATATCTTCTGTTATCTTTGTCATACTCTTATGTGGTCAACTTCTTACACTGTCTGAAAAACACCACTCTCAAGAGAATTCCCCTGTGCACAGTTGGTGACCTTTGTACTGATGTAGATTTTACCTGCAGAGAGTTTTTTTTGTTTTGTTTTGTTTTGTTTTTTTACAAATTTTAGCTTATACTCTGTTAATCTCCCCAGCAGACCACAATACTTAGTTATCTGTTTGCAGTGGGTATCAGAGAGAAACAGGAAATTATGTAACTGTCCTACAGATAATTTCAGAGCTCTTACTTACCAGCTACTTGTATATGTGAAACCTACAAATGGTAAATGATGGCCGGAAAACGCAGTGTGTGATGGTGGAGGCATCGTCTCCTAAAAAAATGATAATTGAGAGAGTAATAATCCACTGACAAAAAATTTGAGTTTAATCATGTGTGAAGTGCTAGTGACAATTTCACATTAACTGGATTCTCAGTTATCCTTACCTACAGCTCAACTATGAAACACACCACCTAGGTCTATCTATAACAGCATGAAGTATGTAATATATATTATTTCATGCAGGTTAGATGAAAATGTTTTCTAATTAAACAGGCTACCACTGGAGAAAAGCAGAATACAACAATTTTTAAAAGGCAATTAACTCCCTCCTTAGCATGCAGCATATCTTTTATTCCCTCTTTCACATTTCCCTGCTCTTCAGTCAGCAGTGCTTTCTACCTGTTTTTTACCATCCTTTTTTTCTGTGTAGCCTCTCTATATTTGGAGAAAACAGTAGTCATTTACTAGAAAAAAGTAATATAACAAAATCTTCTAACCCCATTAGTGTTTTGAACGTTTATATCATCAGTGCTCCTTTACTCTGGCCAGACAAAAAGACTAAAAACCAAGACAATCTTTTAGTTTTCTCCTCAAGCTAAAATGACTCTGTTGCTATATTTCTGGAACCATTAGGAGTTCTAAAATTCTTAAGTATACTGTTGAAATTTTCCTGTATAAACCCAAAATGCCTGGTTTATATTGTTACACTAGAGGCGGCCTTACAATCTGTCTTGCATACCTGCTTACATACTGGTCATCAAAAGAAACCTCCTATGAAGAAGCTTATTGCACTGAAAGTGCTAAAAGGTTTGAAATATAAGAAAATGTAATGCCTTTTTTTTTTTTGAAACTCAAACAAAACAAAAAAAAAGGAACTAGTTGTGCATGCTGTAATGTAAAATTCAGCAGGACAACAGGGAGCAAGAATGCATTCAAAAGAAATCCAAATTTACTTTTTTGGTGGTGGCATGAGCTACACTATGTCATAACTTTGACCTTTTAGTAAAAAAAGACCTTCGTACTAAAGAAAGAATTGCCAGAATAAAAACTAAACCAATGATATTGTTAGACCATCAAAATACATCAAGTCTGTTAGGCGTTTTGGAAACTAGAAACAAAACCAAAATCCAAAGCCTCATCTTTCCACTAACAGTTATTAAAAAAATAAATTATTACACTCCACACTTTGGAAAAGTAAAATTCTTCACTTTTCCTTTGTATTTTGTTTTTATTTCTCATAGATTTTACGTTTCAAAAACTCTTACATGAAGAACTTAAAAAAGATCAAATGCGTAATTGTAACCTACATGACAAACAGTCTTCAGTTATCACATAGGAATCCATACAGATTATATTGGTTCTGAAGTATCATCTCTATTGATAATGATGCAGGAATTTGAAAATAATATGTTTCTTTGCTGATTTTGGAGTAGATAGTTTAAAAAATACATACTTCCTACCATTTATGTGAATGCAAGTATGTTACCATACTGACAACATTATAACTGAATCCAAGTCTGTCAAGCCAATGTCAATAAACGTTCCAAATTGAACAGTGAAAAGCTAAAAATCAACACAACTCAGGCTGCCTGGACAACACTGTTTTGTCCTCTTGAATGTATGTGCACTTTTAACATACAATCATTGTTATGAATATAATTTTTCCATGCAATCACCGTCTCTTTCCAAGTCCAGGTAGAAAAGTAATTATGGCTTTTCAGAGCTGCCTTTTACCTTCACTACTGGGCATTCCTCATTTGCTGTGTGTCATTCAAACCTTCCAATGAATTAAAAAATAATAATTTTATGTGCTTTTCTATGATGCTCACTTCTGTAGTATACAACAGATGAATACAATATACAATAGGTGAATATATAATAGTGTACAAGTAAGTGAAACTTCCTCAGAAGATGTATATGAAAGATAGATGGGAAAACATTTCAAAGTCACACATAAAGAATCTGAGGTGAAGAAACACGATATCCTCTAGTTGAAGCAAAAATGTACTATATCCTCTACCATGCAATGCCTTAAGCTATTTTCCTCAGAGATCCTGAGGATCAAAAGAAATGGTAAAAGCATAATTTTCTTAAATTAAAACAAAACAAAGCCCAACCTCATATGCAAATAATAGATTTCTGCATCCTTCAGTAAATAAAAATGCATCTCCACAAAGAGAACAGAAGGCTTTCCTCAGATGCTAGAATCCCTACCATCTGGTAAAGGTCCTATTTAAAGGCTCAGAAACACTAGGACTGTTTACAATCATCAGTTGCAAAGTTTTTTTAGCAAAGGTAAAACTATTTATTTCTTACTGAGATTACAGTTACTGTAAGATTGGTCCTGAAAATAAGTGCTGTTACTCTTTTCCTAAAGTTTCCTAAGCTCAACCTAAGTCAGAAAACAACCTCGAAAAATTTTAGTATGAATTGAAATGAAACCTGGCAGAGAGATGGGCAGGTACAAATAGAGTGCTACAATAAAATGCTTTATGCAAATAAAATACAAATATCTGCAATGCTCTACTAGAGATAGTATCCTGTAGGTATGAGTATATACGTAAAATATACTCTTTATGAAACCTGGACACAAAAAAACTGTCACTGCAAATAACAGATATACACATTAGAAGTAAGGTTATAATGACTTCAAAATTTTTAACTGAAATTATCTCTACAAATACATACTTGGAGCATCAGCTTCCAAATTATATATGTGCATCTCATACAGGATCTTCAAAGCTGCATTTGATTGTTATTTGTGTGGAACATAGCAAACACAAAAAAATAAACTTCCATTTACATGTATTTTTGAAGCATACTACAAAAACAGATTTGTCAAAATGTTAATTCTGTACTTACAGAATTTTTTAAGCAATCATCATCCACGTCAAAATTTGATGTATCAGTGGGGCTGCTGACTTCTGGGATGTAAGGTGCATCACAGTTTCTAATGTTGTCCCAGTCAATCCCAGCAAAAAATGGATGGTTCTTAAAGTCTTCTATCCCATTCTGTCCAAGTCGATGCTCTCTGCTACAAATTAGCCTTCGGATGAGGTCCTTTGCACTTTCAGAGACATCTGTCACTTGAGCAGGAAACTGGAACCTCTCCTTAAAGATTAAAATAACAGAAAATAGTTTATTACCAAATAAAAGTTGGAAAAGTCACCCCTCCAAGTGATAATTATTAAGTAGAAAAATAAACGTGCAAATACTCAAGTTATTAAAAATAAACAGTAAGGTTTCTAGGAAAAATGACTTTCCCCAAAGGATAGGAACTATTGAATTTTTTTTTTGTATTCTGCTTTTTCTTGTTTATTTGAATTGCTCTTAAACCACTGGATTCTACAGCTGCCTCCAGGTGGAAGAACGTTTAAGAATCTGCTGCATAAGCCAACCAATGTATCCAACAGAAAAAATTAGCACAAAAGGAGCGAGGCAACACAGCCAAGACTTACTCCAGTGAGTGAACTAACAGCCATTTTGCTAAACCCAGATTTTTAATTTTGAACTGCTTTATCCCAAAGCAAATCCATCTGCAAACCATAACCATAAACTTTTTTTTTTTTTCCATTTATGGGGAAACATTTTATGTTTTACATTAATGAGCATTAACACAATTATTACATTAAAAAAATCATTTTAAAATATGCCTCCAAGTTACCCTACTGCTTACGAAAATTAGCTTAGAGAGAGACAGAAAGAGAAAATGCACTAACTTTGTGGTTCATTATTTTCCCATAGGTCTCCACCAAGGACTCAGCATAAAAGGGTGTTTCTCCATAAAGCATTTCATACATGCAAACGCCTAGGGACCACCAGTCACACTCAGGCCCATACTTCCCTTTTCCATCTTCCATGGCCTGCAAAATTTCTGGAGAGATGTAGTCTGGCGTCCCAACAGCTACTGAAGATTGAACCTGTAGAAATTACATTTGCAAAACTAAGAACAGCCTCCATCATTACAGACACTACTGTCCGTGGCAACGTGTTTAAATTTAGCCTAACATTCTGGTTATAACAATAACACCCAAACACAAAAAAAAGGCTCTAAATTTATAACAGAATATTAAAGCATTCAAGACACTTCATTAAAAAGCATCCCAAGGACACATTTTCAAAAAAATGTGTATCTATGTAACAGAGTATATCTAGTATAAATGTATACCTAGTAACAGAGAAAGAACAAAATGCCAATGCTTAGGTTCAAGTTATTCATTAATTATATTTTAAGAAACCACGTAAATTAAATCTCTTTAACACTCTGAGGCATGATTTACACCACCAGCATTACCTTCCAGACACTGTGCAAGTTTAAATATGCTACTGAAACATGATGATGATATGAGAAATGTATCTTGCCCTGCTTACACAAAAGATGCCATTTCCAGTAAAAAATTAGAGCTTAGAGCTCAAAGCTGTTCATTCATGATTCATCAACAAACACCTACTCAGTACTGATAGTGCAGCATCCCTTTATTAATGAACTGACTACACACATCTAAAAAGCTTTTAAAATACAGTAAGTCCAAACAGCACACAGTTGTATCTTGAGCTGAGGTTAGCTGTAAACCAATAACACTATAATTCTATTTGATTTACAATAAAGCACCTTTTCTCTTTATTAACACACATTTTAGAGGCTAGCAAAGGACTGAGCATAAAGCATTTAGGAATATATCAGTCTTTCTCACTTACCGTTCCATCTTCCATCAGTTTCAGACAAGAACCAAAATCTGCTAACCGAATATGGCCATTCATATCCATCAAGATGTTGTCTGGTTTAATATCCCTGCAAACAAACAAACAAACAAAAAACACATTTCAAAATTAGTACAAAAACCTACTGCATAATACATAGCTCAATCAATAACACTCAATATTGAAGAACAAAAGAAGAAAAAACAATCAGCAGATGATAGACAATCACATTATGTAACAAAATTTACACCAAGGGTGTTTCATGACAGGACTAGTAGATTAAATCATATAATGTATGTTAATTGTAGTAATTGCTACAGTAAATGCTGCAGGGATGGGGAACCCGCAGCTCTGGGCAGCAGTGCCAGGGCCTCACTGCCATCTGAATAAAGAATTTCCTCCTAACATCTAACCTAAATCTCCCCTCTTTTAGTTTAAAGCTCATTCTATCACTAGGCTCACTGATAAAGGAGTTCCTCCCCAGCTTTCCCATTCTGCACTTTGTGACTTATGCTTACTCCATATTAATTAAGCCAGCAGTTTTCTAACAGGCTTTTACTCCAATAAATATTTTCACATATATTTCCATATGCAACAATTCACACCTTGCATCTGGCACTGAACTTAGACCCTTATTTTACAAGGTAGAGCAGTTTGAAAGACAAGAATTGCTGGCACCTGCACCTCTCTTTTTTTTTTTCCCCTGTCTCTTCTATTCTAACTAAAATTTGATTCGGGCACCTGACAGCCCATGGCTCACATGCAGTTGAGTGAAGAGGTGTGACTCTGTTTAGTACTGAAGCTGCAACCCTTCCATTCTTTATGCCCTCCACTGTCCCACTCAACAGAACTGACAGCATGCAAAGGTGCAGAGAAGTGTCAAGCAGAGCTGCAACATGCCAGCATGTCCCAGGTCACAAGCAATGTGCAACCTTGCAGCTCTCTTGATGCAAGCCTCACCTAACTTCAGCTTAAAATACTTTGTAAAGACACACAACAAGTTCCTTTTAGAAGCTGGAACTACTTCAAGCCAAACAAAAATAGGAGGCACTTTCAAGGCTCCATTTATCCATGCTCTATCTTTTAATATATTCCTAAGAGAAATAATAATAGTAATTATTATAATAAAACCAAACTGTTTTCCTCCTACCTCAACTACCAAAGCAGCAAAAAACACAAGAAAAAGCTCTCTATTGTTTGCACCATGTAAGAATAAAAGTGCAAACACTGGAAGCACTCAGAGGACAGGTACTTCTTACACAGCCACATTTGTAAGGCTCAGCAATAACTTTAACAGAGTAGTTTTTACAGCTCTTGCAACAAAAGGTCTGGGTTTTGAACAACCATCCTGAATTCAGCTGAACTACATTACTGAAATACAGTTTGAAAGACAAGAATTGCTGGCACCTGCAGAGCAGGGAGGGCCATAAGCAAAGGGGAAGTTAGGAAAATTATCAGTCCCAGCAGGGAACAAGGAAGGGGAGTAATTATTGCCAGTGTAACTGAAGAGTTAGAAGGAGGTAATTATGGGGGAAAACAATGTCATAAAGCCTGCATCTCCACTAAGCCTGCAGTTGTTAGATGCCATTATAGTTGTGTAAAGGAATCTATTCCAAAAATTAATCTATAACTATGCTTTACTCAAGAGTTTTGTTTTGAAGATATTTGGTAGTATTCCTTTGGTCAGAACTTATTGCTCTATTCTAAATAGAGATGGTCTTCCCCATGTTCTCTAGCATATCCCAGCTTCCTTACAGTGGAACTCTGCTTCCACCTCAGCTGTAATTCTATTCCTAGCACCCTCTGCCTCCTAAATACACCTTAGTATTTGAGATGCCTGGTCCTCTACCTCCAGTTCAACCAAAATCACCTCTGCTCCAATTCCATTCTTCCACCGTCAGTTTCTTCACTCCTTAGTCCTAGTCTCCCTTATACACATCAACTTTTTTTCTCCCATTACAGATCACAGTATTTTACATGGTCACCTCACAGATTCCCTTTCCATTCCCATTGGCTTTCTATTCCTCTTATCCTTACTCCTCTTTCCTCATCATCTTTTTGTTCTGGTACACAGCAATCTTCCTTGGCACTGAAAGGAAGAGCACTATTCATTCTTACAGAGCAAACCTACGGCAGAAAAAAACAAATACAGGATCCAAAACTACACACATTTATTTTAAACTCAACTACTATAGTGTGAGAAGAGTTATAATCTTATGTACTGCTAGGAGGCATAGCAGGAAGGAGAAGGATGAAAATTAATTGATGACTTAAGGAAGCTTCTCTCATGAATTTCTATAGTATCTCACAGCAGAAGAATTTCTTACAATTCTTAAAATTATTTTTTTTCCCATTGGTAATCTACCCAGGAAAAGCAATATATGCTTCCCGAACTCACTCCTGGAAAGAAATGATGCTGCTTCAGATGCAAAATTCAGGATGCAAAATTCCAGAAGAAACTAAAATTTGGCAAAATTGTATGGTTCAGAGTAATATGGTTTATTGAACAGACCACTAGACCAAAACTCAACAGTTAACAGTTTTGTGAGGCTTTTTTAAGCTGCTTTGACCTTGATCCCTTGGTGTAGGGATCCTGCTTTGGCAGGGGGGTTGGACTTGATGATCTCTGGAGGTCCCTTCCAACCCCTACGATTCTGTGATTCTGTGATTCTGTGATTATGACAGAAAATCAGCACTGTTTAACAGCTTGGACAAACTGATGCCATTTGCATACTATGCAGACTTTCGTTATTTGCTTCTGTTCAGCTGACAAATGCTATAGGAACAACCAGTTTGTGTGATGCTGGCAACTTCACTTCTACAGAAAACAGAAGGGTGGGGGCTTCTGGTAAAAACTGAGCAAATCTTTAAAGAATCATTCCTCAAACTTCATAATTCTTCCTGGTTTAATATGAGCTTTTTATTCTTCAAATTGGCTTGTTTATTCAGATGACTTCATTAAATTCCCTTTAAAATAAGTTTACCTTCTTAAGCCATAATTAAAACCCAAACATTTTACATAGGAACTTTGTTAACATAAACAAAATTCTAAAATGAGACTATAGCAGACATTTGGATTACTGCCATTTATTTTGATTTCTCTGTTAATAAAGGTAGAATTTCACTTGTTCAGTAAGATCCATGACAAAGTACTCCCTCTGAGACTTGCTAAACCCATAGAACATTCCAGTTACAAAAGAAATAACGTGAATGCACTTTTTTTTCCTGGATTCATTTCTGATACTAAATTGGGAAGTCTTGCATACTGAAATTCAGACCGGTTGATCTCCTGAACTCTTTCCAACATGAATTATCTGATGATTTTGAGATTTCAAAGTGTATCTGTTCCTGACATTCATCTACACCATTCTCTAAACCACTGAATCAATGTTATCCAGTTATTCGCAAGACAATAAGCATTTCCCCAAGTCTACAGCCCAGGAAGCAAGGATTCCAGAACAATCTTAAACTAAATCAGGTTGGACATGGAAACAGCTTCTTTCTGTTTGACCACCTCTGAGGGTGGTCAAACACCAGCTTCCTAGCAAGGTGGTGGATGCCTCATGCCTGTCAGAACCCAAAAGGAAATTGGATAATGCCCTGAAAAACACGCCTTAGCTTTTGGCTAGCCCTGAGGGGGGTCAGGAGGTTGGAACAAATCTTCCAAGAACACTTCCAACTGATCCATTCTATTCTAATTTTGTTTCGTGGGCAACCTCACAGATGAAGAACAAGTAAGAGAAAGGAAATTATCCAAAAACCAGAATGATATTTAATGCAAAAACTGTGACAATTATTAAGAAGCAACTGCATAAGCCAATCTTTATGCTAACAGAACAACTCACAGACCCACACATTTGATTTTATGTGATAAAAACCTTTCTGGCACTGAAGAACTTGCAATCAGTTGGGATCACTCTTCTCAGAAACTGTACAGTAGTGATATAAAATGAACTTGGTTTGTGTTACTCATTTGCAATTTATTTACCTCTTATTTTCAAAACAAAAATAATCAGGTAGAAATGGAGGAAAAGGTGACTCCTCCTCTGTAAATAAGCCAAACAAAAGGCAGACAGATGGGGCAAGAGAGCAGGAGGTATTCTCCTTGGACTAAAATGCTTCAGATGCTAATGGACTGTCCTCAGAAACACAGATAAGCTCTTAAAAAAGCTCTCGAATTGAAATGACAATAAAGGTCTACACGAGTTTCTAAATGCAACAACTGCAGAGGCAGCTAAGCCTGAAGAAAGAAAAGGACCTGTCTGAAGTGGGAGGAGTAATTCAACAGCAGAGCTACTAGTTTATCTTTGGACAGTGGCTAAGAAAGTGATAATTTGGAGAACAACTTTTTATTTCTAATGTTAACATTAGAAAAATATAGAAATGAATTCACTCTTCTAAAGTGATCACACATTCCAAGATGCAATCTTGAGGGTGATGCAAAATGAATTGTTATATTCAATTATTTTCAGATGAACAGCATCTTTTTTCATGCTACCAATGAAAACCAAAGTACAGGAGATAAAACAATAGATTCAGGTGTAAATGCTGGCACAGAAGGACCAGACGAAATATTACTAATTGAGAATATCACAGTAAATTATATGTTCATTATGCATGCAAGAAAATTCTCCTACAGCATAAACCAAAATTTAAAAGCAAATATAAATGGTTATTATTATCCATTTTTTGAGGAGAAACATTACTCTCCACCAAGTTACCTCCTAAAAAAAACAAAAAACAAAACAAAAAAAAAAAAAACCAAACCAAGATTTCACTGTCAAAATGCCTGGACTTCTTATCCAAAATTCCTTCAAAACATAGGGTTATTCTTAGCCAGAACAGGTTTTGCAAGCAGTTTATTTCAATCCCTTCTGTTATTTCAGACAAGCTTTTATTCCGCATTCCTTCTCACACAGAAATGCTACATCCATGATAAAAAAAAAATAAAAATGAAGACATTTGTTTTTGGCAGCATGAAAATGAAAGGAGAAAATTTGGTGCCTGTGAAATTTGCATTAAGGTATTCAGCAATGTAATACCTGCAGTGCCTGCTTTAGATATGCACAGTGAAACAAGTGGTCACCTTCT